ACCCCTTCGGCATGCCTGGAGCTGATCCGTGCTGGTCGCTGAGGAAATTCATCAACTTCGGCACATGTGGTTGCCACAAGCTCGCCGGACGCTCCTTAATCGAATACGCTGACCGCGCCGTTCTCAAGCCCGCTGGCCGCCATTCCTCACTCTAGCCCGCTGGCCGCCGCTCAGTCAAGCCCGCCGTGTTTCGTTGTGAAAGCGAAACTACTTTGTTTGGCCTTCTAAAAGAGGACACGACTAGAAATCAGTGGTTAAGTTGTATTTACAACACTGTTCCAGAACAGTTCAACCCAAATATTCAGATGTGTGCAGCGCATTTTATGGAGGACTGTTTACTGATCCTGGGAGATTGGACTACAATGCCAGCTGTTCTGACTCACAGACTGTAAGTAGGTTTTCATTTAAAGGATTTGCCACTGATGATTCAAACGCGAGTTTTGAGCAGTGTAGAATAGCGCTTGCCATTTGTAATTTCTCCGATCACAAATGCAGACATGGTTTTGTTTATGTGGCGTGATGCAACACAACGCGTAAAAAAGACAGTATAAGTCATTATAATCCATAATTATGTCCCCACTGGATGCAACAAATGCCTCGTTTATAATGGGTTTTAATGTTTTTGTCTCATTGCTCCGGCCGGGACATGGCATCACAGTATGGTAAGGGGCGTAACATTTCCATGACATGCTTGAGGTATTCGGCCAATCACAACGCACTGGATAGCTGGCCAATCACAGCACACCTCGCTTTTCAGACTGATGAGCTTTGTAAAAATCGACGCATTTCAGAAAGGCGGGGCATAGAGGAGAAACAATAATGTACAGTATGTGGAGAATAATGTGTTTTTTTAACCTTAAACCGCATAAACACATTTCATTAAACCAAATACACAAAATAATGTTATTTTTAGCAACATCATATGACCCCTTTAAGTTCTTCAGATCACTGTTGGTTTATTGGTTGGTTTACTGGTTCTCACATTGCTTTTCGACAGTTCCTCACAGCTGGTACCAGTCTCCTTTGAGCCTCCGTGGATGTTGTGTTATATTTCTTGAGGTTTAGCTCTTCTAGTACATCCTCTGCCATCAGAAACATATTAGCTAAAGCTGAACAGTGGGCAGGAGATAGATATTTTTTAAACTTTCCTTCAGCTTTCAGGTAAGCCTGAATGTCTTCAAGAATAGAAGTATCCTTCATTTCAATCAAGCAGTGTGAGAGATTAATCCACCTTTCTGGCCTGACATTCTGCTTTTGACTTTGTCTGAGGTTTTTTATCACTTTCTTCATGCTTTCAGGGTTGTCCTCCACGTGTGTGAGCAGACCTTGGAGAAGTTTCTGATTTGACTCCAGTGAGATGCCATGAAGAAATCGAAGGAAAAGATCAAGATGTCCATTGTCACTCTTCAGTGCTTCATCAACCACAACCTTCAGAAATGCATCTAGTGAAACCTCATTAAACTGCGATTTGATCTTTTTTCTTCCTTTCTTTATCTGGAACATTCTCAGGATATCACTGTTCTTGTTTAAATAGTTGAAAAACACAAAAAGCGCTGCAAAAAACTCTTGAAAGCTCAGATGAACAAAGCAGTAGACCTTCCTCGAATAGATCACTGATTCCTCCTTGAAGATCTCGGTGCAAATCCCAGAATACTCAGAGGCCTTGTTGACATCTACTCCACATTTTTTCAGGTCATCATCATAGAACAAGACATCGCCATTCATCAGAGCTTTGAAAGCCAGTTCAGCGAGTTTCAAAATCACATATCTTTCTGAAAGCAGAAGCAACTTTGGATCATATCTCTCATCTCTCTCACCATACTTCTGCCTCTTCATAACGGCCTGAATAATCAGAAAATGTATGTACATTTCAGTTAGGGTTTTGGGGATTTCTGCACTGCTATCATGTTTTAGGATGTTCTGAAGCACAGTGTCTGTGATCCAGCAGAAAACCGGTATATGACACATTATGTGGAGGCTTCTTGCTGTTCTTATGTGAGAGATGATTCTGGTGGCTTGATGCTGATCGCTGATCTTCTTCCTAAAATATTCCTCCTTCTGAGGGTCAGTGAATCCCTGTACTTCTGTTACCCGGCTGATGTAATGTGAGGGGATCTGACCGGCTGCTGCCGGTCTGGATGTGATCCAGATGAGAGCAGAGGACAACAACTCTCCTTTGATGAGATTTGACATCAACATGCTCACTGATGATGTTGTAGACACATCAGAAATTTTGTCACAGTGTGAAAATGTCAGTGTAATTCTACTTTCATCCAGACCGTCAAAGATGAACAAGACTTTACACAAATCATATACCCTTGTATCGAACTCCAGAAGTTCTGGATGGAAGTCAAGCAGAAGTCTGTGAAGGCTGTACTTTTCATCTTTAACCAAGTTGAGTTCCCGAAATGGAAGAACAAAGAGAAAATCAACATCCTGATTAGCTTTGCCCTCAGCCCAATCCAGAATGAATTTATGCACAGAGACTGTTTTTCCAATTCCAGCAATTCCTTTGGTAAGAACAGTCTTTACTTTTTCTTGGTTGTCTTTTCTCTCATAACTTGGATCGGATATAGGCTGGAAAATGTTGTTGCAGTTGATTGGAGTACCTTGTAAGCATTCAGTCTTGGTTTTCTCTATTTGAACAACCTCATGTTCTTCATTTACCCCTTCCCTCTCTCCCTCTATTATATAAAGCTGTGTGTAAATCTTGTTAAGGTGGTTTTTGTTCTCTTGTGCATTGATTCCTTCACATAAACTCTCATACTTCTTCATGCTGGTTTTGTGGCTTTCTTTGATACTCTGTAGGATGGCATCTACTGGTTGGCAAGAGCTCTGCTGCTCTTCAGCAGGACTGGACCCTCTTGTGTGTGGGTGTATAAGGGGACAAATTTCAGATATTTTTCGGCACTGAAAGCAGTCAGAATCTCCAGACAGGCACGCAGACTGATCTTGAACCACCTGTTTCTTTCTCCCACTGCAGAAACAAACAAGATTTGTAATCAATTAAAATATTAAAGACCCTCTATGGTGAAAATCAAGTTTTTAATGTTGTTTACAAGTTAATCTGGTGTTTTGATATGCTTAAAGACAACCCATCGGCAAATTCATCAGTTTACACCATTGTTGGGCATTGGGGAGTACCAAAGACTCAAAGTAAAGTCTCAAAAAACCAGCCCCCATTTCCTATCATCACAAACATGTAACCAATCCAGCGGTGAGTAATGTAGCCAATCACAGACATATCTGTTGATTTCTTGAATGCAATGGCCAATCAGAGGTGTTTAAGTTAGTCAGAATCCACTCACTGCTAAAAACGCTGGACTTTTTGCCTGCATCTGAAATTGCATACTTCCCTACTATATAGTAGACAAAAAACAGTATGTGGCAAAAGAAGTATGTCCGAATTCACAGTGCTCATAAAAGAGTAGGCAAAAAGTACCCAGATGACCAACTACTTCCGGCATGATTCTGAAGTGTGCATATGATGAACACTTTACTATCCCATGAGACCACAGGATAGGATTTATGAATGGCAGTGATCCTACGCAACTGACACTGCTAGTCACCTGATAATGACAACATGCCGAATGTAGTATGTCCAGATTACATTTATACTAGAGATTATGTGATTTCTAACGCAGTCTTTGTTTCAGTGCTGAGTTCTGCTCAGGACTCTAAGACTTTAAGAGATGTGGGCTATACTGAACACTCAGAGACATCTTTGAATTCAGTATAACTCAGCTATTAAATCTAAAGTGATTAAAAAATGAATTGCACAGGATTTTTTACAGAAATGTAAACAAGCCTGTGAGGGATAGAAGTACAGTTCAACGATTGTACAGTTGTTTAACAGACTGTTCACAGTTGACCAAACATCTTTCCTAAAAAAATAAAAAATCAGTAGACAAAAGATAAATAAACAGGTCTGAAAGTTGAGTTGGCAAAAATTATGTTATCTAGGACCTTTACCTTTATACAGTGTGTGCCAATGTAAAGACTGCAATTCTGTCCCTTACAGTTTTCATCCACATTAAATTCAACATGGCATCTAACCTAATTAACCATATTTGCTATTGTTTAAATTGTCACATGATTCATTTCATAAGAGAATTACATGAGCATGTAAATGAATGTGCAAGCACACCTGTGTTTAAAGTGTTCTGCTTTATCGCTGAATTTAGGAGGTTCAGCCATGGATCTGTCACTCTTCAAAGATGCATAGCTTGATTGTGTCGATGCTGGTCTCTGGGACTGGTGGTAAACAGCACTGTACTCAGCTTTTTCTGAAAGACTGAAAATACCAAAATGAATTCAAATACATAGGTGTCGACCTGAGATTTCAGATTCATATACATTACCAAATGCCGTTTAAAGTTGTTTTAGACAGTTTAGCATGTCACACTGCGGGACAGTTTCAACTAAGCAGCCATATTATAGATTTAAAATTATTAACATTTTTGACATTAAAGACCCCTAATGTATTTTGCATCATTTACATGAATTGATGCAAAACAATAATGGAAACTATGAAGAATGAAAAACATGAAAACAATAATGGAAACTATGAAGAATCAAGAATAATAAATGTGTGTATATTTACCAGGTATGTATGAACTCATACACGGTTTTATCACTGAATTTAGGAGGTTCAGCCATGGATCTGTCACTCTTCAAAGACACATAACTTGTTAGTGGAGATGCTGGTCTCTGGAACTGCTGGTGAACAGCACAGTCTTCCACTTTCTCTGGACGACTGTAAATACTGAAATTAATTTAAATACATAGACATACACTTGAGGTTTCAGATACATTACAACATGCATTTTAAAGTAGTTTTACAAGTATTTTAGCATAACACACTGCAGGACAGCTGAGTAGCCATTTTATAGTTTTAAAGCTAACAAGTAGCATTTGATATTAAAGACCCCTAATATCATTTGTACAATCCACATATATTGAAAACAAGATTGGAACTCATGAAGAATCAAGAGTTATTCTCTTTTACGAGTGTATACTCAGCAAGACAAACCTGGGTTGAAAGTGTTCTGCTTTATCACTGAATTTAGGAGGTTCAGCCATGGATCTGTCACTCTTCACAGACACACAACTTTGAACGGGCGTTCTCTGAAACGGGTGATGAATATTACCCACTTCTTCTCTCTTCTCATAAAACCCCTTTTTAAAGGCAGCGCTCCCCTCCTCACTCCCCAAATCAACACTTGGGTTTGACGAAATGGCCTCCATAATAAGTAACTAATATTACAACTACGTGAAAACAAAGTATGTATAGCAAAATACAGCACAGTTGAACTCTGGTTAAACTCCACTAGACTTCTTCACACAGAGTTTACATTTCAAAATAAAAGTCCTGGCTGCGCATTTTCCTAGCGGTTAGTAAATTGCATGCTTCTAAACTGTACTGTTCTGACAAAAAAAGTGAGTTACATATTTATATCTTTATACAGCGATTATTTATCCGTTTAGATTAAATTTGTTTTCTGTTTATACATTATGTAGCCCTTCTCCCCTCCTCACTCCCCAAATCAACACTTGGGTTTGACGAAATGGCCTCCATAATAAGTAACTAATATTACAACTACGTGAAAACAAAGTATGTATAGCAAAATACAGCACAGTTGAACTCTGGTTAAACTCTCCACTAGACTTCTTCACACAGAGTTTACATTTCAAAATAAAAGTCCTGGCTGCGCATTTTCCTAGCGGTTAGTAAATTGCATGCTTCTAAACTGTACTGTTCTGACAAAAAAAGTGAGTTACATATTTATATCTTTATACAGCGATTATTTATCCGTTTAGATTAAATTTGTTTTCTGTTTATACATTATGTAGCATCGTCTGTTTTAATATTTACCGTTAACTTGACACGTTTGGTTTGACAGCACGCTAAAATGGCTGTATAAGGCTACAACATGTCAAGTACCATTGCACTGCCAACTCCAAAAACAGCCATTTCCTTTAAAGAAAGCAACTACAAGTTAAGCTTGGCATTTTTTACACATTTCTCCTGAATCAGCAGATATAAATTTGATAAATAGGTAAGATACTATTTATAGAATCATGCCATTTGTGAGTTTTTTCTTTCAATATTGACAAATTAACCTGAATCGAACCTGTACCGCCTCTTAAGATACTCAGCAAAAGTCAATTGCACCAGTTAATAATGTTATTAGGTTCAGAGTTTGAATGAAATTACATATCTGTTGTGTAATCTGTAGGAATGAATATATACTTAAGAATATGCAACATAGCAATGTTCATAAAACTTGGCAATGACATTCGTTAAGCATTCATTTTTTAGGTATAATTTTGATTACATTCAGCAGGTGGATATGGTCACATTTCATTCAGCTACAGAGGCAGTCTGAAACTGATAAAGTCTTAGTAGAAAACTGCACAAGTGAGAAACACATTATCATCTCCTCTGTTGAAATCATCTAGATCATGTTTCAAGGTGTGTTTAAAAGCAGAATCAAACTCTTAAATAGAGTTTTAACATATTTTCAAATATATTTTTCAAGCATTAAGAATACATCCTGCAAATTAATTGTGAGAATGTAACTACTCAATCTATTTTTTAAAGTAATGACTTGAGTAAGACTCTGTAAGTCTTTCTATCTTTTTTTCTCACAAATGAGTATCAATTTATTGCCCCAGATGAAGCTCAAAATGCTGAGGTCAAACTGGGGTCTGATGTAGTGTACTGTGTCACTTGAAATCAGTGCTGCTGACCTATTTTAAATATAGTGCATATAGTGCATCCACATAAGTCGTATCGACTAGTATTATGATACAGTTAAGGTATTTTTAGAGCTTGACAGTCACACAGATTTGGAATAATGAGGGCGAGTAAATTACAGCTGAATTCACAAGAGTGTTTATAATTTCACTGTTTTGAGATTGTGGGTTGGTGACCACAAGGTGGCTCTAAATCTTTGTTACTTGCTTGCTGCCACTCTGGCTGATTTGACCAATGATGATATTAGCAGCAATTAAAGAAATAATTCACCCAAAAATGATCATTATGTCATCATTTACTTTAACCTGCACCTCAACCATCCCAAAACTTTCTTCTATGGAACAATTTATTTTTTACGTCCATAAAATGGTAACCAAAACTTGCTTGGTCTTCAAAATATCTTGTGTTCTATATAACAAATAAATGTGCAGAATAGATATAATAAGAATCATGACATTACTTAACTTGTGAAACAATAAAATGTATTAAAATGTATTAATGGCTTTATATTTATAAATGTATCATTTTTATTTAATTTTTTATTATTTATTTATTTGCTGTTTTTAATATCAATAGCACATGCTAATACTGTAACTTCTTCTGTCAACACAAATAAATGAATACCCAGAATTAGATGACAATATCCAGACACAAATGCTTCTGCAATTTGTAAATAGCTCATTAATGGGACACAGCTCAAAGGCTTGTGTGTAATTGGTCAGGAGGTCCCGAACTGTCATCATTCAAGCACAATACACATACTGGAGGGTCTACATTTTTTCCCGTCACTGGTTTAACTTTCCTGTCATGGCTTTGGAGACAAGATAAATGAGAGACAATAACCATTAAGTTTCCACTTGGACATTAAAGGGATAGTTCACCCAAAAATGAAAATTTGATGTTTATCTGCTTACCCCCAGGGCATCCAAGATGTAGGTGACTTTGTTTCTTCAGTAGAACACAAACGAAGATTTTTAACTCAAACCGTTGCAGTCTGTCAATCATATAATGGAAGTGAATGGGAATCACGGCTTTGAGAGTCAAAAACGCAAGAAGAAGACTGACTCAGGACAGTTTGGACATTGCGGTGAATCAGAGGTAAAAAACTATGTAAATACTGTTCAGTTTCTTGCACAGAGCGATCGTTTCATGTCTTTACACATCAATGTATCGTCACGAGCCGCAGGGTTTAATTTGGTTTTGTTTGTGTATGTTTTTTTGACTCTCAAAGCCGTGATTCCCATTCACTTCCATTATATGACTGACAGACTGCAACGGTTTGAGTTAAAAATCTTCGTTTGTGTTCTACAGAAGAAACAGTCATCTACATCTTGGATGCCCTGGGGGTAAGCAGATAAACATCAAATTTTTCATTTTTGGGTGAACTATCCCTTTAACATGACTACAGTGGACAGAAGAGTCTTGTCAATTATAAATTTGTTAATAAATACTAGAATAGTAAAAAAAAAAAAAACATCACAATATTACAGAAAGTTTCTCCAAAATATAATTTTATTTTCAACTGTGCGTTTGTACATGGCAAAATACATTGTTTTACAATGGCAACTGACAATTACCAACTTCACATCTTAAATATATAGAGAACAAAGCTAAACACTTCCTACGCCCTCCACCCCAAACCCCAAAAAAGAAGCAAATACATCTGCACAGTCTCAAGCTGCAGAGCAGATGAGCCTGTGTGGTCATTAGTTTCCAGTCAGCTTCCCATGGATGTGGATCTGTTTGACACTTGTAAACTATGGGCCTTTAAGCTGCTGGTCTTCAATGGGAAGTTACATTTATGAATCGCTCCCACACCCAATGTCTAAACAGCAAGCTCTGGACTGATCATTGCTAAATATATCTTGTTAAGGAGTTATGGAGTGTCTGGGTGCAAGGGACAAGAGGATCAACAAACTATTTAAAGATATATACAAATCCTAACAAGACGTCAGTGCTTGAAAAGCGGTTGATTAAAGCGCATACAACATCACTGAGTATTTTAACACATACTACATGAGAAAATGATAAATTATTACAATTAATAATTTGTTTTTAAATTAATTTATATACTTGTATACCCATATTCTTTGCACAACAACATCATACAGTCTCATATACTCTGAATAGTGTATGTAGTCATATGTACAGTATTACTATACAAAATCACCTAAATAATAATAAAAACAAATAAATTAATCAATAAATAAGCTTTATAATTATTCAAAGCAGCAGAACACAATTTGTACTTCAACAACAGTAAAGTTAATATCAAAGTCAGTAATGCAAAGTATGCATCAGGCATGGGAATAATCCTGGAAGATATTATCAGGTTGAAAAGTCTTGTGAAGGATATCTGTGGGTGGCATGACCTTGCCAGACAGTTTCCATTCATCCTCCTGCCCTAACAGTGATAAGGGTCCAAAAGGAGAAGAAGAATGATGGAAGACTACAGGAGGAGAGCGATGGGGAGTAAATGATGTGTCTTCGCTTTAGGGTAGATTGGGGTCAAAAAGTAGATATACAACTGCCAACTGGCTTCTCATTCCCAGGAATCAGTTGTCTCTCGCCCTCCGTGCAGCTTGGAATTGTCTTTGGTCCTCACACACATGTTTTTCGGTCCTGACACCTTCTTATCACAGCCGTGCTTCGGGGTGGGAGCGCAGCTCACACGGCATGTGGAGCAGGAGGGGGTGAGAGCCCCCAGTATCCCGCTTGTTGATGCCGTCTGTCGCCAATGGAACGGGGCGGACGGACTAAGATGTACAACATGCATTCTTTGTCAACTGTCCCATTCTCACATCTCAGCAGTGACATGCTGATTTGTGAATGAATTCCATGGTGAAATGCAGACAAGGTTTCAGTAGGAAGAAATGTTACTGAAGAAAAGATAAAGGCAGGATTAAGTGGCCCAAGAAAATGTTATATATCAAAACAGCTTAATTGCTTTGAGACATTTCAGAAGTTCATACTGTCCTTTTACGATGTCTCTCTTTTATGAGCATCTGTTTATTGCTTAGGTTTTGCACTGAAATAATGTGTTTTATTCATTAGTAATTGCATGGATTGTTTTGTATGTATACCCACAGGAGTACTTCTCACAAAACGCTTTTGCATAACATGTACATATGCATTTCATGAATTTCTTCTTGTCCTCCATCTAATTTGAATACTTATTTGGATAAAACATGGCCAAGCCATCAACTGCTTTCCGCACAACCTTTCCATTACAGCCTTATTCACACTCAGCAGCAAACATACGACTAAGTTTGCATCCTCAAAACCAGTTCAAATACATTAGACACCTTTTATACAGACCCAGATTACAAACCTCACCCAGCTGTACATAAGTACAGATGTGCTGTTTTTCTATAGAAAAACCTTGAAACTCAAGCTATAATGTACTTTTCTTACTTTTTACTCTATATGATGAAATCTATTTATAAAATGTCATCTTTCACCCAATGATTTTTGCTGGTGTGTTGTTTTAGATGTTCCCAAATGTTTTCATTATTTCAGAATGAATTTAAGCACAAAATGTAATGCTGAATAATGATTTGTCCTTTAAAAAAACATGTATGCAGATTTCACACACAAATTTGTGTATGACTGATTAATGAATGAGACCCATTGTCGTAAGACTGCGGATATCTAGAGAAGGAGTTGTTCTCAGACACATTCGAAAGTCCAGACTGGTCCGTTCTGGTCTGATTTACCCCTCGTTTATAAGACTTTTCTGATAAACACTTCACTTCAACTTGGACAGTTCATATCAAATGCATTCTGTTAGTCAGGAAGCTGCATATTGACTTGGCAGTGTCACGACAGATACGGTACTGAGCTTTGTGGAAACAGGCCGTTTCACAGGCTTCTTGTCTCTGGTAATGTCACTGGACTGACCCTGTGGTGCTTGAGTTCGCTGCCATCTTTACGAAACACCCACTTAGCGAGGACTCTGCTGACGCAAACGATATGGCCAAGTATGTAACGAGTTGGAGTTGATATAATCTCTGACTTAAACTTCAGTCTTTACTGATAAGATATCCCGGCTGATCTTGAGGCGTGTCAGTGGTTCAATTATTGTCTTATGTTCCACCCAATCCTTGTTCAGCAGGGATGAAATGGTCACCGTTCCCACTAAATGTTGCATTGTGGCCCCTCGTCATGTGGCTCCAGAATTGGCTGATTCCACAACTGATTTCATGACTCCTGCTAACGCTGTTAATGTTGGGAGTAAGAGCTCATCCACTACCATTTGGAAGAAACTTGGAATGTTAGTCGTAGACAATGACTGCCTTTTAGTCTCTTTCCAATCCAAACTCTAAGCTTGTGGCCCAGATTCACCCCACTTCTCCATGTCCATTAAATACTATCTGCATCCACACTTCGCTACCACCATACCTTCATATTTATACTGATATGTCACCACTTCTGCATCATCTAGGTAGAGCAGGGAGATGGGATCTAATTCAGTGGGAACGCAACAAGCTCTGGACACTCTTTGTGGACTTTTCAGACTGACCAAAGTTTGCACAATGGCATGTTTAGTAGGTGTAACGTGTTTGGTCAAAGGGTACATGCACGTCCCCGTACACTCGAAGGCTTCATAACCGGAGGGTGCTAGGATCCAACTGTCCCAGCCGATGTCTTTGAAGTCCACATAGAGGGAGGTCTTTTTACACTGGTTGCCTTTGGCATTGCGTCGGATTCTAGATGCTGTGTCATAGATGAGGTTGGAGCGCATCTGTAGGAGAGCCTCCTCGCTCTGCTCCTCTTCCTCATTGCCATCTTTTTGTCCCATAACTTCCAGGTCGTCCCAGAGACCAGTCAGTTCTAGGTCAATGTTGTCTTGAACACCAGGCCCAGTGGTCTCATGCTGGATCAGCTCATTGAGCTCTCGTTGGTCTCCGCGGTGGTCTCTGCTCTGGTCATCAGAGAAGACGATCATTAAGGGTTTGTGCTTGTCCTCAGGGCTGGTGTCAATGTCCATGTCCCCTCCTCTGGCGTTGCCTTCCTCCTTACCTTCGGTTGATGGCAAACTCTGAGACTTCAAACTGGCTATGTGGACCTCCAGCCTGTGGGTGGTGCCATAGTCTGATTTCCTCCAAAGATGCACCGCAGCGGTCATGTCAAAGGATTCCCAGCCGTTATCTGTACCGTAAACCTGTCGAGATGCCAACTCCACTAGTTCTGTTTCTCCCTCTTGCTTGGTTTGATTTCCTCCATCAATATGGTCCCCTCTTATTTCCTGACTGCTGTTCGTTTCAATCTTTTTGACCTCATATATGGTAACTTTTCTGTCAACTCCAATATATTTGTTGCGGTCAGTCTGGACCAAAGTATACAGTCGGAGCTCGGCTGTGGTGACTCTCTCGTGATGTGGGATAGACACGTTGAAGATAAGTGGGTGTTGTCTCACCCCACTAGGTCCAACACTGTATGGGGAGGAGTCTGAAAAACAAAATTAGGAATTCAAATTCTCATGTTGTCATTATAAATCTACCATAAATATGACTCAAAGATATGTCTAATAATATTACAATAAAATATAAAAAATATATTATATGTGTGTATGTATGTATGTATGTATGTGTGTGTGTACATAAAATGAAAGTAACTAGGTGAAAATAAGGTCAAATAGTCACTTTTTGAATGCATTTCTAGACAATATGAAGATTTTTAACTTTCACAACACAACAAAAATTCATGTTAAAATCTCTTAATTATTCATATAGTTCTGCAGAGATATTACATTTGCATTAAAGTGCTATTATGTATAACGGCACACAACTGAAAAAAAAGCCAACTATTATTTGAGATCAAATTTTTGAGACTTATCACAGCACATATTAGTGCTCTATTTTGATTGCTTTTATTGTCCTCATTTGTAAGTCACTTCGGATAAAAGCGTCTGCTAAATGACTAAATGTAAATGTATTATATTGTCTTGATTAATTGCATATAATTTAGCAAGCACAAGTATTATATTTTAATCAACAAGCAAATAGCCTAGTGCGCAACCAAAAAATGCATTTTAGAACACTTTTCTAGAATTTTCTAACATCCTTACTTGATTATTCAATTACTTTAAATACTTAGTCAACATTATTGTTTCTTTGTACTACATCCACAGTAGAAAATAAATTATTTTATTGCCATAAGCAGATTTTATATATAAAAAAAAAATTTAAATTCCCACAATACAAACACAGTTACACAGTCCTCATTGGAAAAGTAAATATACAATTACCTTCATTTTTAAAGCTGCGTACAATGTTTGCAGAAGGCATTGCTGTTCGGTCATTGGCGAAGCGGTTGTAGAGCTCCAGCATGTACTCAGGGGGCTCTACTCGAGTGGCCCCTGGCTGCACAGGGGGGCCGGGACGTGTCAGGTTAAAAGTGCGCAGAAACTGTCCCTTCAGGGTCTCCAGCAAGCTCTGCATGTCTACCTCACTGTCCTGCTCCAGAAGTGAAGGATCCAGAATCCCTCCATGTCCGTCATCCAGCCCTGGAGCAGTGCGGAGCTTCTCGGGGGAGCCGATAGGGCTACTCTGTGCACAGAAGGGCCCCCAGAAGAGCAGGAAAAAGGCCAATAAAACAAATGTGCTGGATGAACATGTCATCCAAAAGTAATTCCTGCTTACACCCATGATGTAAGGCAAATGAGGTGTGTATCAGCTATAGGTGAAGAGTTTCACAGGAGCGAAATCTGGATCTATAGATCCAGTGACAAATGCCTTTAATTTAAAGAACTCAACCCTTTCTTCTGAAGGCAAGTGGTTACTCCAGTGCAGAATGTAGGAAAGTAAAGCCGTCCTATGCTGTTTTGGTTCTTATATGTAGCTGCAGACTGGTCACTGCATTAAAGTGCCTCTATTCCTGACCTCTGAGCATTTATTCTTTGATGTCTGAAAAGTTTGGACTAGAGGGTGGTTTCACTACGTGAAAGAGATGTCCCTCTGTGGCATCTCTTTTCAAATGTTTTTTCCTCTCTCTCTCTCTCTCTCTCTCACTCTTGCTCTCCCTACTTTCGCTCTCTCTGTCCCTTATCTACAAACTAGGAAGCTCTGCGTTTTTAGCGTTCGTGGTGTCCCTGTGTGTGTGTTTGTGTGTGTGTGTGTGTGTGTGTGTGTGCACCGTTATCTGCTTTCTTTTCCTTAATGAGGATTTTGTAAACATCGCTCTGATACGTGCAGAAGCCCCTTCCTTTGTTTGGGTGGGTGAGCCAGGGCAGATTTTGGGCCTAGTGTTTATTTGTTTTTCCTATGATTTCCTATGAGTGTTGGGACTTAAGTTCATTGACCATTTCTTTTTGACAAACGTCTGAAGAGTGCCTCAGTATCTTTGAAAAAGAGAGAGGATAAATATCTGCGGTGACGGAAATTGAAATGAAATGAGGTGTGAGAGGTTGCAGGATAGACTGAAAGCAGCCACTTTTTGCCATTACAAAGCTATTATCTGTGAATCTCTGTGTATCTCAGAGAGGTTGGTAAGCATCAATTGCAATGAAACGAGTACTTGAAAGTCAAACATTCCCTCATGGGAAATAAATAAGTTGATCAAACTGAGGACAGATGTCTTTTTCCCCATACACAAACCAAATCTACTGAATTCCATGCATGTGAGTATTTTGTTTGTATTTCCACTGACTTCCGGAGCATCTTATCATCTGTAGGGTCTGCAGCAGGGTGCCTGCTGAAGAGCTTCTGCGCTTACCGGCAAAAACAAACCGCTCATTCGGAAGTGGAGGGAAGCCCTTATCACCCACTCTGAGGGGCTGACAGACACAGCTCTGCAGCCAATGGAAAACGTCTTCAAAGGCTCAAGATGTCAAGTACCCAATAGACGGACTTCATACACTGGTACATTCCCACTTTGCAAAACCGTGTAGAGGTAGTTACAACAGGAATGCTTCAGTCAAGAAGAGTTTCTACTTCCAATACTCACCTAAGATCAGTTTCATCCTCTCTGATCCAAATCTGACTCCTATGCAAATGAAATGCAAAAGGAGAAATTTTGAAGCATGTACACACTAGGGGTGTGCAATAATGATGAAAAATTATATCTCTATATTTTCTGGAATTTTGTAGACAATGTTAATTAGATTATATTTTGCTGAGTGTGTTATTGTGCTGGTACCTTGGCAGGTTTAGGATCCGTGGACAGCTTGAAAATTCTTCATATTCTGTGTGGTGGCTAGTTTGCAAGAGTAACAGAAATGAACTTTAAAGCTTAAATTGATTTTTTTTTACCTTTTATGGGCATTTTTGCCTTAAAAAGGCCAATTTTTTTCTAACCTAATTAAATGTATGTATATCTTTTGTGTCAAATTCTTAAATTTAGTCAAATTCAAATACTAAGATATTATTGGGCTGTTACCAATCAGATTAAATCAGTATCGACAAAATTTGTGTTTGCAATGCAGAGGTAGCACAGAATCTGCATCTGAAGTGGCATTTTTAGATGCATTTACACACGCTGTTTACGGTAATACAAGACAATCATGCATTTAACCTGCAGTTACATTTGCATAAATGTTTTGAAGTTTTAAAAAAAAAAGTTGAAAATTGATATTTGAAATAATTTGGGGGGGAAAAAAGGTCAAATCTACTTTAAATATAAGCCTAAAATCGGCAGTAAGTGGTGGCAAATCACTGCATGAGCGAGTCGTTGAGTCATTCATTCATCCAATTCCTTCAAATGGCTAATTGATTCAGTAAAGCAACACCTTCGTGTGCTGCTCAGAGAGGCAATGCAGGCTTTGTTTGGAACTATTTTCGTTGTCAAAATACAGCAAATACATTTAAGTCTAACATGTAAGTAACTTATTAAATTATTGTATATTGAACTGTTCCTCAAATCAATATCACATTTGCAATCATGCTGATATTTGGAGAAAATCGTCACTCTTCCTGTGATATTAGCTTCAAATTAAACACTGGGAACCATATGATGTTTTTTGTGATTAATTAATTGCCAACAACACCAAAAAATATCTAACTTTGACGTCACATCGTACATCAACTTTCTGTCCAATCAAATGCTCCCTAGAACCTGAAGCGCCCGCCCCCTACACTATAAAATAGAGGCTGAAGCCGCGGCTGAAATCGGACACGAAATCGGGTGGCTTTACGGAGCTCAACGGCTCTAGCCCAAGCTGTGATATAAACGAACGCTATTGGCTATATTAAAAGGGGGCGGGGCTGCTTGATATGTCACGCCCTGTCTTCCTGTTTCAGTTAAAATGACGTCAACACATAGAGTAACACTGCGTGTTTCTAAGCATTTCAGGGGACCTTTAAGATATTTTGGATGAAAACCGGGAGGCTTGTGACTGTCCCATTGCCTGCCAAGTAAATTACACTGTCAAGGTCCAGAAAAGCATGAAAGACATATTCAGAATAGTCCATCTGCCATCAGTGGTTCAACTGTAACGTTATGAAGTGTATACTTTTTGTATACTCTAACATACTTTTTGTATGCGAAGAAAACAAAAATAACGACTTTATTCAACAATTCGTCTCCTCTGTATCTCTCCGCATCACCGTAGCGGCATTTTGGAGAAAATGCGCTGAACGCAAACTGCGTACGCTCTTCTGTGTCAGCCGCGACAAAAGGATACGTTTACTACATGTATTTACGCTTTGATTCGAATGAAAACAGCGCATCCGTGCAGCGCGGCCGACACATAAGAGCGTACGCAGTTTGCTTATGACCGGTAAAACTCTTTACAGCAACTAGACTAGAGCTAAATATATGTAGGCTATATTTATTAAGCAGCCATACGGGCATCTAGTGGTTAGACCATGGCATTACATAGCAATATAATTTTTCTGGCCACCAAACGTCTCTAATTTGCCTCTTTGCACTGGAATTTAAAAAACATTTTCTCTATTTTAACCCTAAATACTACACTAATTGTAATATCAATAATAAGCATATTAGAAAAAATATTAATGCTGTCTCTTCATCACTCCCCAGAATAAAATGCGATTGTAAAACGTAGTCAGCGTAGTTATCAATACACAATAAATGCACATGATGTGTTAATAATCACTAGAAATTGCTGAAAATATAGTGAAACTGCTGTCTATCCTACTTAAACCCATTCAAACATGTTGACAGCGCGGAGTTGTTTGGAACTAGTGAACCATGAACCATGAACCACGTGACCACGTGGCGGCGAGATCAAAGCGTGTCGCAACTCTGTTTCTGAACGGCTCTGGTTTTCAATGAAATGGTCGAACTGATTAGAACAAGGTTCGCGATTCACTCATGCACAGAATCTGTCACGGCTAAGAAATTGAACTGGTAAATCACCTGTAGAAGCCTATAGTTTATTTAATCTCATACACATGAATACACAAGAAAATGCAAAAATGCCCCTGTTGAAAAAACCAGCATATGCTGGTTAGGTATGTTTTGACGCTGGGATGCTGGTTTAAGCTGGTCCTTTGCTGGTTGATGCTGGTCCTTTGCTGGTTTAAGATGGTCCTTTGCTGGTTTAAACTGGTCCTTTGCTGGTTTAAGATGGTCCTTTGCTGATTTATGCTGGTCCTTTGCTGGTTTATGCTGGTCCTTTTGCTGGTTTATGCTGGTCCTTTGCTGGTTTAAGATGGTCCTTTGCTGGTTTATGCTGGTCCTTTGCTGGTTTATGCTGGTCATGTGCTGGCAAAGGACCAGCAAAAGGACCAGCATAAACCAGCAAAGGACCAGCTTAAACCAGCAAAGGTAAACCAGCATCCCAGCGTCAAAACATACCTAACCAGCATATGCTGTTTTTTTCAACAGGGGCTGCTTCCAAATGGAATGCTTTGGTGCTATTTTTCCAAAAGTTAAAAAGAAAAAAAAATCACAGCAATTTTGAAACTCTATACCATTATTACATTATAAAGAGCAGCATTCTTCAAAATGTATTTAGTACTCCACAGGTAATTATTATTTAAGTTTATAAATGGGCATGCGTGTGACATGTTGACCCAGTAACCAGTGGTGTCACATGCTTTGCTCACTCTCTTCCTCAAGATAATCGTTCCTACGTAGGAGAAACACTTGATGACAGTGTAGTTTATCTTTGAAACTGTGGTGCTGCCATGAGCTCCATTTAAGTGTACAAGAGAAACATCTGGAAACGTCCACTGAAGAGCATCACGGAACAAACTGGAATCCACCAAATGAATGACTCACCTGACCATATATTCACATTATCAGCTTTGTGTTGATATTGAGCAGCATATTGTCCGTATAATCCAGCCTGATCGGAAATAGGAAATTCCTTCCCTATCATTTAATCAGCATTATGACAGCTGACAGACACAATGCTATCGGGGCTTCTTTTTTCTTACGTAATTCCCAGTGTTTTTACACCTTCCCCTGGTCTCTTGTGTGAATTCTGATCTGAAAGCATTCTTCCCATTTCTCTCTCACACTCTGTCACATTTTATCTCTTCTGACACACTATCTCATTCTGACTGCAACCAGACAACAGAAGTGAAGGTGCAGGAAAGAAAAGCCAGATAAAAAACGTTTATTTACTGACAGTAATCCACATTTTGTGTTTTCACCAAATTGTTCACAGACTCTACTGGAGTGTAACACAGTCTAGTGATCACATAAAAAATAACAATTTTAAACCTCTGCCACAATAGATTTTGTTGTAATTTATCATTAAGAATTAAAGGTGAGCAAGACTTCTCCTTCTTGAAAAAAAAAGGCTTTTTAAAACCAAATCCGACCAGCATTTTAGTTTTTGTTGGGGAGTTATTTTTTTTAGATCCATAAGAAAATACTATAAAATTTCAACAAAAAGGTAATTAAATACTCTTTATAAATCTCTAAACTGTTTAACTTCAAAATTCACATCTTGTCTTGTAAGTAGATCAAATCTGTAATTTCTGTACATAAGGTGTCATATACTGTAGCGGACAAAACCTGAGAGATGAACATTACCACTAGTCTTACTCTGAAGACATTATTCAGAGCAGTTCATGGTGTAAAACCCGATGGAGTTGTCCAGCTTGTTGTGTACTCCTCTGAGGAGCTAGACAGGACTTAGTTTTGAACTTCGTTCGTTTGATGGTGTCACTATGACGGTCCAGCAGTTGGTCTGTTGAGGAACTCCTGAATCTCTCGGTTCAGCTGCTCACTGCGCACAAGTGCTTCATCTCTGCTGCGCTCTGCATTGCGTAGTAAGATCTCTAATGCAGCTTTGCCGCGTCGCTCTGCCTCTAGTGCTGCCTGCAACTTTGCCACTGTAGCGCTCAGCTCTTTGTTCTTCTGCTGGAGACTGAAAGTACAAACACACACACACACACACACTTAGATATATATATAACATAGTAAGATTAAGCAAAAGCTAAAGGCATTTATAGGCATTTATAAAGTTACTAAAGATTTCTCTGCTATTTTCAACTTTATTTTCATCAAAGGATCCTGAAAAAATATTTCCACAAAACATTATGCAGCACAACTGTTTTCAACAATGACAATCATAATAATGTCACTTGAGCACCACATCAGCATATTAGAATGATTTCTGAAGGGTCATATGACAGTAAAGACTGGAGTAATGGCTGCTGAAAATTCAGCTTTGCATCACAGGAATTAATTACATCTTAAAATATACTAAAATAGAAAAGAGTTATTTTAAACTGTAACGATATTTCACAAAATTAGGCTACTGTTTTTACTGTACTGTATTTTTCATCCAAATATGCAGCCTTGGTGAGCTTAATACATTTTAATCAATACATTTTATTTATTGGAAATCAAAGATCCATGAGTGTTCTGAGTTGTTGCTAGATGGTTTCTAGAGTGTTCTATGTGGTTGCTAATTGTTGGTTACTTAATAGGCCACATATAAAGAGCTCACCCCCCAGATTCATTCTGGTCCCTAAATATGGCCCGGATCCCTCCTTCAGTGTAAGTATGAGCCCATTTTATTGTCTGCCATGCAAAGTCTATGTCTGAAGGATGTTTGTTCAAATCCCTGACCCTTCACAAACTCCACTATGGCAAATGATGAACACAGGTACACACTTGTATTTGGCCGTACCTGTTGATGATGTTTGTTGAGTCTGTGTTTTCTGGTTGTGCTGGATTGCTTTTCTGTAGAGCAGCTGCTGTAGGTTCCAAGGTTTTCTCTCTGCTCACAGCTGGCGCAGTCACATCGTTGCTCGGCCGAGGTTTGGGAACGGGTGTTATGCTCTGTGCCTGTGGTTTTACAGCATCTATCTGTTTGTCCACGACATCGCTACCTGTCATATGCAAGCCTGTGTCCTCTGTGTCCTTCTGTCCTTCAACTTTTTCCTTTTCACTTTTCTGCCCTCCAGAGAACAGTGTCACTTTCTGCAGGTCAAGTAACTTAAAGATGTCCTCTGAGAATGTTTTCTCTTCGTTCTCGTTGAAGCTCTCCTGGAACCTGCTCCAGCGTTCCCAAGAAGGCTCACGGCCTCTTCCCGCTGTCGGACAGCCTAAGCTGGGTAGAGTTTGCGTCCTTTTTCTGGGGCTGTCGGTCCAGGTGTCGGTTGCGGATGAAAATGGAGAGGAAGGAGAAAGAGGTGTGTCTTCTGATCCCGTCTTAGGTGACCACAGGTCCTTCCTCTCTTCCTCAGGTGTGTCCATTTCCTCTTCCTCGGGAGATTCAGACAGGGAGGACACCTCACACTTAAGAGAGAAGAGTGATACGATCGGTTAAGAGATACAGGTGTGAAAGGAACACAGTGACAGCTTCAAAAAAAACCTTGACAAACAGCAGGTGTGTTCATCAAATATGACTATTCTTAATTTGAAGCCTACAAACAAAAACCTTTCCAGCTATTTAGATTTTTTTTTGATAAATTACATTATAAATAATATGCCATCTAAATGTCTCTGAAGCTGAATATTTCAAAACTGATCAAATATTTCAGAATTTTGAAATTCACTGATATTGCCAAGAATAAGGCCAAATTTATATAGAATTTTTTTTATACACTACCACTTAGAATTTGGGGCATTTTGTAAGACATCAATACTTTTATTCAGCAAAGACACATCAAATTCATCAAACGTGACAGTAAAGACATTTATGTTTCAAAGCATTTCTATTTCAAATAAATTCCTGGGGAAAAATATTTGACAATTTCTACAAAAATAAGACTTCTTAAACACTAAATCAGCATATTAAAGTGATTTCCGAAGGATCATGTGACACTGACTGGCTGCTGAAAAATCAGTTTCGCCATCAAAGAAATCAATTAATTTTAAATGTTAAATGATTTAACAATTAATTATATTAAAATAGAAAACAGTTAATATTATACTATTTTACATTATCACAGTTTTACTGTATTTTTGAACAAATAAATGCAGCCTTGGCGAAGAGAGACTTCTTTCAAAAACATTAAAACATTTATATTAAAAATGTTGGATTTTATTATTTAAGAACTATCCAGGCCTATAAATCACCATTTTAAAACACTTCTCCATGAATGTGCTTCTGAAAACAGCTGTTATTTTACGTGATCAGTACCTCTGCAGACTCCCAGCCCACAAAACTGCGAGGGTTACTGTTCTTCTTGCTTTTGCTTTTCTTGCTCGGAAGAGGAGATGGCAGCATGTCTTTAGAGGGTGGGAAAAGCAGCTCATGGTGTCTGATCATCACCGTCATTACCTTCTGTATCATGGGCGTTCCTGTGTGAATGAGGTGAGAACAAAGATCATCACTACAAGGTGTTAACCATAAACACCATACTTGAAATCTCATTCTTACTCAGTGCAGTTCAGGTTAAATATCCCATAAACAACCAATAATTTGTTTTTCTGATTGACTGATTCTGTGTGCTGTTAAAACAGGAAGTTGTGAGTATGATATGTCAACGTTTTTTTGTTTTTTTTTAATATAGCCAATAGCCTTTAGTTTAGACATATTACCCAACTTTTCAACTACTGAAAGGGAATAGCACATATAGTAAGAAATGTAGTGCAGAAAAAGCAGTATGCTAGCATGCCATGATATGCTTCTTGCTATTGCATTCTCATTCAGGGCATTCTATTAACGAAAATACTAAAAATTGGAGCAAGAAATGATGTCATTAATATTTTAAGTTCAATTTTCCAGAAAAGAAAGGTTGTAAATTTTTATATTTTCTGCTAAAAAATGTTTTTCGTATATTTGAACAGACATGGACTAGGAGTGGGCGATATGTCCAAAATCTTATATCACGATATGAGTCATTTTATTTCTCTGCAACAATATATATATATATCACAATATAGTTATTTTTGCTTTAAATAAGGTCTTTATGATATCAAAATGTTTGATACCATAGAAATGTCATAATTCTTGTTACCAGTGTCAATATCACAAAAAAACTAATACTAGCCTAAATAAAGAAACTCAAGCTCACTGAAGACAAGTAAACTGTCAGTGATTAAATAAGAATAAGAAACTAATTAGAAGCAATTGATTTAGTCAAGAGCAGTGAGAGATTTTCTCTCTTTTGTTGTTTGATTAACATGAATGACAGACAACAGGAATATTAGACTGCTGTCACTTTAAGAGCTGCCCGGATTCAACATGTGTTTTCTTTCTCAGCTGTTTGCTTACACTTAAGAGCTACTGTACTGAGCTACTCTCATAGACAGCGCTCAGAAACAGTCTCTCAGACAGCGCGCACATATAGCAAAATGAGTTCTCGTTCGCTGCCGATTGCATTTCAAAGGCTTAAAATCTTAATCGTGTCTACTGGAGGCACATCAATATTTTGAGTTCATGGGGTATTTTAAAAACAATATAAATTGCATAGAACACAATGTTTTATCCATCTTAGGATGATTACCGACCCTTCATCATACTGATGGCGTCCTCCACTTGCGGCTTGAACAGGTTCACTCCCATGACCGTGGCCAGATTCTCAATGCTCATTTTATTCACCTTTGAGTTTTGTTGGACCTCAAAAAGGAATCTGAAATGACAAATATGCATATACAAATGCCATGGCCTGTTTTTGCTCCTATCAGTGTCTGATCCGTTTTCACTCTTATAGGGACTCGTACCTGCAGATGTAACTCAGGAGGTTGTAGTTCACTTTTGGCAGAAGCCTGATTTGTTCCTCCAGCCTTTCTTTGCCCTGGGATTGATCAGATTACAGTTAGTTAAAGGATCAGTGCTCATCTGACATACTGTCTTTGTGAATGTGTTTCTCACAGCTGCAGTGGTGGCATCCAGCATCAGAGTGCTGTCAAGGAAGTCTTGATATTGAGTCCAGGGCACAACAGGTTCAGGAAGCTCTCTGAGGTACAGCTTAAGTAATGACCCCACCGTGTGGACATCAGTGTCACTGTAGGCAGAAGGTATGAACAAATGAAGTATAAATTTGACTTGCAATAATTACAGTCAATACAATAGTCTTTGCAGTCAGAAAGGATGAAGATGAAATGCAAAAACAGTTGCTTGTCAAATGGATATGTGAGCGTGTTCAATGGCAAGATCTCTGTTAGTCAGGACAGGATGTGGCTCAGCCGCAGATCATCAGTGTGTGCCAGGTTCCTCTGAAATAGTGTGCTTTTGTATCTCTCTTTCTCTATCTCTCATGCTTTTGCACGTCCTCTCTCTCACACACACACACATCTAGTTCATACATTCTGGGTCAAACTCTTTACCTATTCTACTTCCCCAAAATAGCAGTGAAGACTTTAGCGTCACCATAAATGGTCATGCAGTGTGTGGTCATCCACATAAAAGCCCCATTCGCATGCAAACTTTAAAGAACATTGAAGTCTGGAAACCAATAGTCACAAAATCAGGTAAAAAAAAATCATAAAATTAAATCTTTTAGTGGATTACAGTTATTTCTTTCATTGTTTCGGTTCACATAATGCTTCTCTTCACCAAACACAGTAGTAAGGAGTAACCTGAAGTTATTGCAAACAAATTAAATAAATACAATAAGCCATTGTATTACCTTTTTTCACTCTAATTCAAAAGTCTGAGGTCAGTATATATATATATATTTTTTATAAGGAATGAATATGTTTATTCAGCAGGGATGCATTAAATTGTTCAAAAGTAAGGGTAAAGATATTTGTACAATTATTCATTTATTTCTAATAAATGCTGCTCTTCTGAACCTTCTATTCATCTACAAAAATATTAAGCAGCTCAACTGTTTTCAACACTGATAATAATCATCAATCTGATCTTCAACCATCCCCCATTCGCATGCAAACTTTAAAGAACATTGAAGTCTGGAAACCAATAGTCACAAAATCAGGTTAAAAAAATCATAAAATTAAATCTTTTAGTGGATTACAGTTATTTCTTTCATTGTTTCGGTTCACATAATGCTTCTCTTCACCAAACACAGTAGTAAGGAGTAACCTGAAGTTATTGCAAACAAATTAAATAAATACAATAAGCCATTGTATTACCTTTTTTCACTCTAATTCAAAAGTCTGAGGTCAGTATATATATATATATTTTTTATAAGGAATGAATATGTTTATTCAGCAGGGATGCATTAAATTGTTCAAAAGTAAGGGTAAAGATATTTGTACAATTATTCATTTATTTCTAATAAATGCTGCTCTTCTGAACCTTCTATTCATCTACAAAAATATTAAGCAGCTCAACTGTTTTCAACACTGATAATAATCATCAATCTGATCTTCAACCATCATAGGATGAAGTTATTATTTTAAAATACAAAACAGTTGTTTTAAATTGTAATAACATTTCACAATATTTGTTTTTACTATATTTTGTACTGTATTGTAATATCATGGTATTCCTTGAAGTAGTATGTATTCAGTACCATTGCATGCAATTACCGGACTAAACAATAAACAATATGCTTTATTCAGACCAGCTCTCTACAGAATTCATGAGTCATTTTACTCAGATTTAGACATGTGAAACTTCACCTGGGGAATGAGGGTCTCTCTCCGGCATCAAAGGCCTCTCTGAACTGTTTGACCTGGTTGTCCTGTCCTGGCAGCCGAAAGATGCCCTCCTCATTCAGACCGTGCTCTCTGATGAATTCAGCACACTTCTCCACCAGGATGGGCACCAGACGTGGCCCAAATTTCTTCTCATACACCATGATGTCTGAAAGGCTCTTTCCAAATACTTTAAGGAGAGAAACATAACAATTTTATTGAATAGCAGTGGCAGTCGTACAACACAGCAAAGTTATAGTAAACAAGAGGCTATTTAAATTGATCATAAATGATGACAGTCTCTCTGAAACAACCTAAATGCCATCAAGGTAATAGGGTTTCATCCGAGTTACCAATTTTAACCACTAGTCTACACCACCATAAACTCTAAGAAAGTCTGAAAACAACAAAAAAGGAATTTTATGCATTGATTTTCCACAGGTGTTTTAGAAACCTGTTTTAGTCATTTTAAATTATGCATTACATTGTGTTGTGTTTTAGGGTTAAAGGAAATGTCCCTAAACTTAAAAGACAGTGTCCTGGCATAAAATTACTAGTACCTTTTCCGTTTTTCTACAATTGTTTTCTTACAGTATGAGAGAGAATGATCCTAAGAACCTCCTCAATCTATAACAAACTTTATAATATAAATGTATATTATGATGAATGATAGACACCTCCATTAGACCGTGATCCGACGGCTTTGCGAATGGAGCGCACCCACTCTTCCATCTCGCTCTGACTGGTCGCCATGAGAACATAGGCTTCTCGCTCCCGCTCCCGATCTGTACTGCTACCTGCTGCATCAGGGACACAACTACTGTATGATTTTGCCCACCAACATATACAGTAGTAGCCAATGAGGTCTTATACACTGTAAACAACTTGCATAGATAGCAGGCCTGTGTTACACTTAGTGCAAGAGAAGTGTTAATTAAAAAACTCACCTGGGATAATCTCAAAAAGGAATTTATCATCTGCATTTGACGGCAGCTCATTAACATGGCATGAGAACAAAGGTATGGTTCCCTGAGATCAGAATGAGACAAGAGGGTATAGTTACAGTCTGAGTGGTAAATAATTTAGTAAATTGTAAAATTAGTAAATAAAATAAATAAATAAAATAATAATAATAAATATCAGACAAAATGCATAAATATAAAAGCAAATTTCACTTGCATTACGTTATCAGTTTGGAAACATTTACATGACATTCAGACAGAAAAATCTGAGACAACACTAAAAAATCTAGAATTCAAGATATAGATTAAACCTGGATTTTGAAAAAAAAAAAAAAGAATAAATATTATGATGTAAAATGAAGAGGAAATATTTAAGATTCTGAATAACATGATTATCACATGACCAAATACTAAAGACCAAATTCTAAATCAAAAAGAAAAAAGAAGAAAAAAAGATAAAATTATTACAAGTTTAATTTGAGTTATTTGACTGATTGGACTGGCATTGCGTAAAATAAAAAAAAACAGGAAAGAAGAAATTAAAAAAAAAAAAATTTGATGCATTAAAAATAATAAAAATCGTGATGTTTGTATTACTCGTGCTTGCTTGTCTCCTACCTGGACAGCGCTCTCTCGGTCATCTTTATGGTATGTTAAGACATTTCCTCTCAGCACAAAGAAGCGCAGCTGCCAGTTCTTTACGATGGATCTCTGCTTCTTCAGCCAGCCTGTTTTCAGAGGTTTCTCCATGGATCTCTTAAAACCAGTGTGAGTGGATCCAGGGCTCCCTTCCCCTGGCATAACACTCTTGGAGCGAGCTGAGGTGGCAACCGATAAAAAGCATGCAGAGAATAAGACAACCACGCAGATGAGTCCGAGACTTGCTGAAAATTAAATCACCTGTCACTGATCTAATTCTATTTTTATATCACGAGACCATCATGCACATGTGTGGTGAGGACAGTGGCTAACTGTCTGAACCCGGCAGCTTCCTGCTTGACAAATATTTGCAGACTTGCTGTGATTGTCCTGATGCTGAAGAAAAAGTCCTGCTGTGACTTTAGGCCAGTTCTGCCAGAAACAATACCACGCACTTAAGCAAAAACGGCTTTCGATGTTACTGTGCAATGGATTGTTCGCTAGGTCAAAAGGGTATTACTGGATCTTGACTCTTTTCCACATACGTTTGAGAACTGAAACTCAAAGAGGAACATTTTATTGTTCAGAGATTGCCCTTTTATACCTTGAGAGATCTAATGAAGTTCTCAGTTATGTAACATGATCATTAGGTTTTATACAAAGCTCAAGTCACATGCTGTCAAAGCAAAAAAAGGGACAAACTAAATACTATTTATAAAATTTTTCAATTCAATTTGTCATTCAGGTGGTTTATCGTTGACTAATACTAGTTTCAAAATTCACTTTTGTTGTTTGAACATAAATGTGTGATGGAAGTGTGTGTACACATCCTTCCTATAATGATAAAAATCCACCCAGTGTTTTTTTTTTTTTTAAATCCCTATTTTAAAATCCCCTTTCTCAAATCAGGCTATTCTGAGATTCCTGTCAGAATGACGTAGTTCTGCACAGGCCCCTCCCATGATAGTTGATTGACAAGGCCATCTTACCTTAGACCCGCCCTGAGTGAGCTGTGAGCTGTCCGCTATTGTGTCGACTCCGGTGAAAGGGGAAGACAAGAACGTCTCCGATTAAGCGATTGAGGCATTTTGTTGCTGGATGTAATAATGAACATAGCAGTCGTCATTTACTCCCATTTAAGTTCGTGCGAATCATTCATGATCCAGCTTCATCTACAGAACAAGTGAGTATAAGTTTTTTTTTTATTAATCTTTGAAAATCGCCTTTCCTAATATGTGCTAGTTAGGAAGTTTACAGTCTGCTTGTCACCCCACGGAAGAGAGGGGCGGGGTCAGCAGAGCTCATTAGCATTTAAAGCAACATGGACTAGAACGACGTGCTGAAAACAGAGCTGATTTTGACAGGGTAAAAAGGGTGTTTTTTACACTACCATTGAGAAATTTTAACCAAAGTATGTTATAGACTTTTCATTAAGACCCTAAAGAATCATATCAACTTGTGGAAAATGGGCATTCGATGACCCCTTTAAGGAAAAATACAAATTACATGGGTTGACATGTCAAGTGTACAGATCTTTAATATTTATGTGGATATTTAGCTTAGACCAACCTAAGGTGGTTCGCTGGTTTTACCAGGTCTCCTAGCCTGGTCAAACTGGCCTGTTGGCTGGTTTTGGGCACTGGTCGGGTTTGAGACCAGATTACTGCCAAGGTAAACCAGTTAAAACCATCTTACGCCAGCTAAGCTCAGCAAAACATAATTTTGTCAGTAGGAGGATATTAGAATATAATGTTGATATTAATATTGAGTTAATATTGAAATATATGACTTTGATTGCAAATGTGTTGTTAAATTTGAGAATAGCATTTAAAAAATAAAATTTTCCTCACTTTCTCTCAAAAAGTCTCAATTTCTCTCAAAAATGTGTGCTCCATTTGAGCCCATTGGTGTCTGGGAGCGAGAACCAAGATACTAAAGAGATCCCATTTGTGATTTAGCTTTCTGGCAGGACAGCCCATAGCAAAGGGAGGGTGGGGTAGGGACCCCTGTGATTGAGAGATAAGAAAAACTGAGATGTTCAGAGTGGCAGAAAATAAGAAAATTATTGCAAAGCACTCCAGTTGGCGTTCATAATGGTGAAAAGCTACTTAGTGAAGCCACAAAACACTTGACTTCATGGCATCTCATTGATAAAGCATTACAATAAATAAATCTCTAGACAGCAACCAATCAGCCATTATCTAATTGAAAAGAGATGGTGTCACAGTGATTTGAGCAGTTGGAGCTTTTGTAGTCAAATTCGCTATAACGCATTGAGATCAGAGGAAAGGGCAGAAGAGAGAGAACGAAGATAAACAGGAAGCTACAAGCTCATCAGCCACAGGAAGTAGCGTTTTTGAAAGATCCCCACCTAATGTCAGCCTCTTTGGTCTATTTTGAGAAGATCTTCCCTGATGGAGAGCACGGACCACTGTTCTCTCTCCTGGAACACAGGCCCACACACATTGCCTGGCTTGAGGCCTCACCCATTTCTATGACACACGCTGGGATCAGGGGAAGGGAAGAGAGTCGGTTCAAACTCCCCATGAATTACCAAGGAGATCATAGCAGAGATGCAAGAAGCTGTTTGCGTCAGGCCGAGCTGTTCTGCGTCAGGCTGAAGTTTGAGACATTGGTAAAAGGGACTCATGATCATTCACATTCAGCAGAACAGCTCTGCAGATGCTAAAATGTGCATAATTTTTGTTTAATGCCGTGTGACCGTAACAGCTAAAGGCACCATTAAATTAACACATGTTTATTAATTATGATTCATCCGTGCACGCTATCCGAAGGAAGAAAATGTCTGAGTAATCTTTAATTAGAATCATTTATTTCACCACTGAAACAGCTTTTATTTTCATCATCACTATCTGCCTCTATTTATGTATTTATATCCCGATCTATTTCCCCCCCCACAATCCTGTCAATTCCTGGTGGAAAAAAGTCAAATTCTGAATGAATTCTTTTTTTTTTTTTTTCCTTTGAATACCCTGTTTCACTCAGAACAGATCAAATGGGTTGCAAATAGATATGCATAATATTAAAATTCTGGCTGATAGGAAAAGTTAATAATTTTTAATGTTATGGTTGGTAACTGATAAATGGCTGATATCAAATTTCTAAATAGTTGTAAAAAATCTAAATAGCTTAAATAAACAATAAAAACTTACAAATAAAACATACTTGAATCAATCATTTTAAATGCTACGAGTGAATCACATTAGAACATGCATTATAAAATATAGCCTAAATATTGATTTTTGAAATCATTAATAATGAATTTGTTCGTATTATTAAATTATTTAAAAAAAATTTAATTCAAAGTGAGTATTATATGATTAAGTGAGTATTACATGAAAAAGTAACTTAAAATGTAAATATAGGGGAAATAAATATGTACAATTAAAGAAGCAGCACTGACTATAGATCAACAAATAAAAAAAAAAACTATAATACCAATATATTCTGCACCTATAGCTATGAACAATGTTTTTTTCAACTTAAAAAAATTAGGCTGTACTACAAGATGCTTTGAATAAAAAGTGTCTGCTAAATATAAAAAAAAGTCATTAATATTTAAAAAAAAATAAAAAAATAAATTAAGGAAGCATTAAATGATGGCAAAAGTAACCAAGGTGTAAAAATCCTTAGTTATGAACATTGTCTTGGCTGTGAATTCTTTTTTTTTTTTTTTTCCTTTGAATACCCTGTTTCACTCAGAACAGATCAAATGGGTTGCAAATAGATATGCATAATATTAAAATTCTGGCTGATAGGAAAAGTTAATAATTTTTAATGTTATGGCTGGTAACTGATAAATGGCTGATATCAAATTTCTAAATAGTTGTAAAAAATCTAAATAGCTTAAATAAACAATAAAAACTTACAAATAAAACATACTTGAATCAATCATTTTAAATGCTACGAGTGAATCACATTAGAACATGCATTATAAAATATAGCCTAAATATTGATTTTTGAAATCATTAATAATGAATTTGTTCGTATTATTAAATTATTTAAAAAAAATTTAATTCAAAGTGAGTATTATATGATTAAGTGAGTATTACATGAAAAAGTAACTTAAAATGTAAATATAGGGGAAATAAATATGTACAATTAAAGAAGCAGCACTGACTATAGATCAACAAATAAAAAAAAAAACTATAATACCAATATATTCTGCACCTATAGCTATGAACAATGTTTTTTTCAACTTAAAAAAATTAGGCTGTACTACAAGATGCTTTGAATAAAAAGTGTCTGCTAAATATAAAAAAAAGTCATTAATATTTAAAAAAAAATAAAAAAATAAATTAAGGAAGCATTAAATGATGGCAAAAGTAACCAAGGTGTAAAAATCCTTAGTTATGAACATTGTCTTGGCTGCGTTTAAAAAATGAGGCTGTACGATGCTTTGAATAAATAGTCATCTAAAGATCGACTAACAATACACTTTATATAATTAGAGCAATCTAAAGCCATCAGAAAACTATCATACTGCGAGAAACACTTGCTCTCTTAACCTAGGATACTGCTGAGAGAGCCTTAACTAAAGACCATGTACTAGGCCGCATAGTAGATAACTATCTAGCATTTACAATATGCTGACATTTTGAGCAGAGCATGAATGTGCTTCTCAGAGTGTCGCAGCGTCTTCCTGCCTGCAGCATATGAAGATTACACACACAGAGGAAATCACTAATGCTTTGCATCTCCAACAGACGGTGCAAACCGAGACCAGAAACGCCACGAGTCACCGCATACAACCATAAACCTGCCTCTCTTTATACCTGATTGCTCCATACATCTGCTGGAAGTCATACTTTAACTCGTAACAAGAGTTTTTAAAACAGCCTAGAGATCAAGGAGGACATTTAGTCAAATTAGAAAGGAAGTACTACAAATAATCTGGTCACAATGACTATACAACACATCAAAAGGTGTGTCAGGGATTCAACAGAGTTACAAGGAAAGCGCGGAGCAGATGAGAAGTGCTCAAGTGAATTATATAGCCTCAGGGTGAATCCTCCACCATCACTATACCACTTTTGTCTGTCATTTACAGATACTCCTCTAAATTAGACTAAACACATATGCACCATCACTGCCCAGTAACATAAAAGCCATACTTTACATGCGTCAGTATAGACCAAACCTCTAGTTCCTAGTGACAGGAGGCCTGTTGTGTCAATGAATACAAAGAATCGCACATAAATCTACCCACCTGGCCAAGTGCAATTCCTAAAACACGGAAAAGACTTTGACCTTTGACCACACACACAGTGGCACTCACCTATCTTGGCGGTTTCAGCTCTGAAGGTGCTGAAGTCCCAGTTGCGAGGTAGTCTCAGAGACATTTCTTCAAAATCGGACCAAAAGGTTACACACACACAGACACACTCACACTCACACACATTCTCTCGCTCACACGCACACACACACACACACACAAAAACAATCACAAAACACAGTCAACTAAGAGTACATTCTTTCCAGCCCCTCTTCTTCTCTTTACTTCCTCCTTCCTCTGCTGATCTGATGATTCTTCTTCTTTTTTTTTTTTACACTTCCAAACACGTTCAATCATGCCCCTCGGCTCGCCTGCAGTGTTTGTGTGAGCAAACCAACAGTTATTTTGAAGTTCCTACATGCAGCACGTTTGTCAGGCTGGAGAGAAACAGCAGAGCTGCAATCTTCATGAGCTGAGGAAGTGAGTGGCAAAGTCAAGACAGCCACAGAAAAAATATCAAGAGGTGATGAATTTCTACACAGGCGAACATGCAGACTACAGTTGTGCAGGATGTACCTCAACCAATGGGGCCACTTTCTTCTCAGACATTTGTCATCATTTTCTTGGAGAGATGCACCATGGTTTCTTTGTATTTGTACATCTAAAACAATGCTGGGTTTTTCCATCTAAAATGGGCACAAAACTGTTTCTGTCATCATAAAAATCTGCATCTGACATGAAAAGGAAGTTCAAACAGCAAGGAGGAAGAGATCAGGATGCACTTGCATATATACTGAGCTTTCCTCTTTATTAACCATTTACAAATGAGCACTGTACACAAAGCTGCAGGGAAAGCACATTTATCAAAAACTACAAACAAAATACAACAGAAATACAAACCATAATACTTGAAGGCAAATAACAACATATTGAGCTGTTGTTGTGCTCAACAGAGAGGTTTTTCTTCTTCTCAGTGGCAAACCAAAAGTGCTTAACACGTTTGAGTGGGTTTTCCGTTTCTGTTTTTACTTAAATGGTCATGAATAAATCGCCAGACACATGGAGAGCACAGCTGCGCCTCTCTGACACTTCAGGAGACCGTTGCTTACATTAGTATACTTTCTAAGGACAACGTGTCGTGGCAGTGTTTGCGAATAACAGAATTTAAAAACCGTAATGATTCACAATATGTTAGTCTCGTTGCACTAGCACTTGTTAACCACGCAGCAGGGTTGCCAGGTTTTCATGACAAAAACCCGCTGAATTGCTACTCAAAACTATCCCAATCGCGTTCGAGGGGGTCCCCCGGTAAAAAATGCGTTCCCAGGGGTAAAAATACACCTTTTTTGGTGAGCTTATCCTGGTAGAATTCGCATTCCAGGGACTAAATATCACGTTATTTGGGTTGCTTTAACTCACAGGCATGAAAAACAACTCGCGGCAACAGTGTTAAAGTAGCCCAATTCCGTGGGAAAACCGCGGACTTGGCAACACTGCCACAGACACGCGGGGGGGGGGGGTGTCAGGGATTCAACAGAGTTACAAGGAAAGCGCGGAGCAGATGAGAAGTGCTCAAGTGAATTATATAGCCTCAGGGTGAATCCTCCACCATCACTATACCACTTTTGTCTGTCATTTACAGATACTCCTCTAAATTAGACTAAACACATATGCACCATCACTGCCCAGTAACATAAAAGCCATACTTTACATGCGTCAGTATAGACCAAACCTCTAGTTCCTAGTGACAGGAGGCCTGTTGTGTCAATGAATACAAAGAATCGCACATAAATCTACCCACCTGGCCAAGTGCAATTCCTAAAACACGGAAAAGACTTTGACCTTTGACCACACACACAGTGGCACTCACCTATCTTGGCGGTTTCAGCTCTGAAGGTGCTGAAGTCCCAGTTGCGAGGTAGTCTCAGAGACATTTCTTCAAAATCGGACCAAAAGGTTACACACACACAGACACACTCACACTCACACACATTCTCTCGCTCACACGCACACACACACACACACACAAAAACAATCACAAAACACAGTCAACTAAGAGTACATTCTTTCCAGCCCCTCTTCTTCTCTTTACTTCCTCCTTCCTCTGCTGATCTGATGATTCTTCTTCTTTTTTTTTTTTACACTTCCAAACACGTTCAATCTTGCCCCTCGGCTCGCCTGCAATGTTTGTGTGAGCAAACCAACAGTTATTTTGAAGTTCCTACATGCAGCACGTTTGTCAGGCTGGAGAGAAACAGCAGAGCTGCAATCTTCATGAGCTGAGGAAGTGAGTGGCAAAGTCAAGACAGCCACAGAAAAAATATCAAGAGGTGATGAATTTCTACACAGGCGAACATGCAGACTACAGTTGTGCAGGATGTACCTCAACCAATGGGGCCACTTTCTTCTCAGACATTTGTCATCATTTTCTTGGAGAGATGCACCATGGTTTCTTTGTATTTGTACATCTAAAACAATGCTGGGTTTTTCCATCTAAAATGGGCACAAAACTGTTTCTGTCATCATAAAAATCTGCATCTGACATGAAAAGGAAGTTCAAACAGCAAGGAGGAAGAGATCAGGATGCACTTGCATATATACTGAGCTTTCCTCTTTATTAACCATTTACAAATGAGCACTGTACACAAAGCTGCAGGGAAAGCACATTTATCAAAAACTACAAACAAAATACAACAGAAATACAAACCATAATACTTGAAGGCAAATAACAACATATTGAGCTGTTGTTGTGCTCAACAGAGAGGTTTTTCTTCTTCTCAGTGGCAAACCAAAAGTGCTTAACACGTTTGAGTGGGTTTTCCGTTTCTGTTTTTACTTAAATGGTCATGAATAAATCGCCAGACACATGGAGAGCACAGCTGCGCCTCTCTGACACTTCAGGAGACCGTTGCTTACATTAGTATACTTTCTAAGGACAACGTGTCGTGGCAGTGTTTGCGAATAACAGAATTTAAAAGCCGTAATGATTCACAATATGTTAGTCTCGTTGCACTAGCACTTGTTAACCACGCAGCAGGGTTGCCAGGTTTTCATGACAAAAACCCGCTGAATTGCTACTCAAAACTATCCCAATCGCGTTCGAGGGGGTCCCCCGGTAAAAAATGCGTTCCCAGGGGTAAAAATACACCTTTTTTGGTGAGCTTATCCTGGTAGAATTCGCATTCCAGGGACTAAATATCACGTTATTTGGGTTGCTTTAACTCACAGGCATGAAAAACAACTCGCGGCAACAGTGTTAAAGTAGCCCAATTCCGTGGGAAAACCGCGGACACATCTGAGAGAGCACTGAGTGAGCAGCACAGCACCCGCCCAAGCGGGGGGGGGGGGGGGACCCGATGGTTTGGCGCCCTCTAGTGGCTATAAATGGCACGCGCAAGAGTCTGAAGATCTGGCAAGTATCTTTAACTTGTTCAACCTGTAACATACTATCACAGAAACAAGAGCTAGATATTTTAACATGCATTGTAGACTTTAATAAATGCGTCTCTTTATAAATGTTTATGGTCACCGCACTCAAACGCATGTCTCTGCAAGTGTTGGGGGTAATGCATTACAAGTAACGCGAGTTACGTAATCAGATTACTCTTTTCAAGTAACTAGTAAAGTAACGCATTACTTTTTAATTTACAAGAGAATGTCTGAGTTACTTTTTCAAATAAGTAACGCAAGTTACTTCCCCCCCCCAATTTATTGATTGACAGCTCTGCTGTCCCCATGTTGAGAGAAATCAGATGTTACTGTAGTTCTAAAATAAATATGAATATGCATTAATTAATCTCTCACAAAAAAAACACGGATTCAGTATTCCTCAAAATGAATAAAAATAATGCAACTCAGAATATGCAATAATTAAATGTTAAACAACACAAACATATTTTATGTATTTAATCCCATTCTATTTGCTTCTGACCTTCGATGATCCAGTTCAAGCGTACTAATAAGCACAAATTCCTCTAGACGACCATTCGTGAGTCTTTGTTTATTGCTGAAGTGTGTTGAAATGTCTTCTTCTGCATTCTACTGTATGGACGCAAATTGACTTTCCCTTCAGCCTGAGGCTTATTCATTTCACTTCTGATGTGAAAAGGCTTTTATATACTTGCCAAAAATAAAACTTTTTTATTTGAAAAACAAACAAGCAAGCCCTGTCCAGATTTTAAAAGTAACGCAAAAGTAACGCAACGCATTACTTTCCATAAAAAGTAACTAAGTACCGTAATTAGTTACTTTTTTATGGAGTACCGCAATATTGTAACGCATTACTTTAAAAAGTAACTTTCCCCAACACTGCTCCTGACATCAGTGGTTGGCCAGCAACATGACGGGTTTGTAACTCTCTCTGTTGATTATAAAACATTGCAATTGCTCTGTTCACGTCTGGAGTTTGTACAGTACGTCAATGTTTCATACATATAGAGCACAGACTTGCTTAGAGGACCATTCAAATACAGTAAAGAATAAGAATAGAATCAGCTCTACGTCAAACATATACAGTATATATTCTTATATTCTAATATAATGTATGTAATTCTCTCTATAAAATCAGGACATTGAACTGAACTACTACTACTATAAGGTACAATAACACGAAATCATAATGAATTAAATATCTTAGAAACACTTCTGCACCACTTAACACAGATGAAGATTGTTTTGCTTACGGAATTAAAAAAATTAATTAATAGCATTCATTGATGGTGGATGGTGAAAATACGGAGGGCAAATATTACACGCGGATTTATGGTCATAATTTTTCAGCTGTGACGCTGTTTATTATTGTTACGTCACTGCACTTAAGCTATTATGGCTTGAGCTGTCCATCAAAATCATGTAAATAAACAAAAGCAAGACAAAAATGAACATAACTCAGGTAATAAGCTGCCTATTTATCTTTCAAGATCTGTGGGCGTCGAAGAAAACATGCTAAACAAGTTTTACATAAAAAAGCCCAACATATGAGTGCACATCAGTCTTGTCAATACACACAGGTCTGAAAGTATATGCTTATGGATCTTTATTGTTGAATGGCAGTGAACTGTAGGTACAGACTGTGAAGCTGAGCCCGTTAACACTACTCTTTTAAAGCTGCCAGATGACACCCATTAAGGTTTCATTTTCTTAAAATAAATATTGTTTATGGCACAGGTGTTCATGACAGCACATATTAGGGGGGAACAAAATACCTTAAACAAAACACACTGTAGATCTGAGTTTACACAGCAGATGATGGTAAAAACAAAACAGATGAAATAGAATTATAAAATTAGATGTGGTAGACTTGGTCTCATGCAGTGAAAATGGTACAAACAATAAATTTAAAACCAAAACGGTCAATGAGAATGTATGGCCCAGTCTGATCCTTACCATTTAGCATGTAACAGTTCACAAACACGCACAAAAACAACACTCACACACACACACACACACACACATAAAGCTTGATTACCACTAGCTTGCAACTGCTCAGTGACAATAAAACATTAAAATAAAACTAGAAATGATAAAAGTATGATTTAGACCACAAACAATAATTCTGAAAGGGATAGTTCACCCCAAAAATGAAAATGTGATGTTTATCTGCTTACCCCCAGGGCATCCCAAGATGTAGGTGACTTTGTTTCTTCAGTAGAACACAAACGAAGATTTTTAACTCAAACCGTTGCAGTCTGTCAGTCATATAATGGAAGTGAATGGGAATCACGGCTTTGAGAGTCAAAAAAACATACACACAAACAAAACCAAATTAAACCCTGCGCCTCGGACGATTGATGTGTAAAAAGACACGAAACGATCGGTCTGTGCAAGAAACTGAACAGTATTTATATAGTTTTTTACCTCTGATTTACCGCAATGTCCGAACTGTCCTGAGCGCGTTCTCAACTGTCATGCGCCGGCTGTTGAGAACACGCTCTGTACAGTTTGGACATTGCGGTGAATCAGAGGTAAAAAAACGATGTAAATACTGCTCAGTTTCTTGCACAGACTGATCGTTTCATGTCTTTACACATCTCAGTGTGAAATGTTTGTCAACATCTCCAAATGGTCTTTTCCAGTGCTAAGTAACAACTAATTATTATTAACTATTGACAACGTAATTCTAATTAAAGTTACTTCCTATTTGTTTGGCTTACAGGGACCGTTTCTTTGTAACAAACATGAAGGCCACGTAATTCTAGTCTGATGTGGCCTAAACTTCCTCTCAAACACTGAATACTGACATCTGAATCGTCTCCTTAACTTCAGGAAGTACAGTAAACATACAGTCTCACAGCTGAACTGCAACAGTCACCACCGACTGGGCTGAAGCGCACATTTTATATCAATGACCACAATTCTCTTAAATATAACGTTACAAAAACATCAAAAACCATGACCATCAAAACAAATATGAATTATGGCACTCTGCAGTGAAAATACAATCTTTTTTGAGACTATGATGGCGTATGGAAACACCTGCTAGCAAAAAAAAAATAGACTAGCCTGAGGTTGAAATGACAGTGTGATGAGCAGTGCATTAAAACAAAATAAAACATAATAAACACTATAAAATATTCAGACGATCTATAGGTACAGAACATTTGTACACAAGTGGAATTGTACAGCTCAACTCACAAAGAACTGTAACAACAACGTCATCTTAATATATAGAATATTATTTTGTGGTGTAAGAGATAAGCATAAAGCATTCACAAAAAATAAAATAAGCAAAAACACTGATTTGAATGAACACACACACTCTTTCTCACAAACACACTGAAAATGGAATGACCCAAGGTTGTGGTTCAGTTTTCTGTTGTTTCCCTTCTTATGTTCCTCATCTCATCTCCCACTTCCATACATGCCTGGATCTGCTTCCGTTGCACTCTCTCTCCTCCCTCTATCCACAGCCTACTCCGGTGGGGTGGTCCGAAAAGCTAGGCTGCTTCTTCCAGGGCAGGGAGCAGGCCTTTCTCTGTCAGATGAGCCTTGAGCGAGTTAAAGATGTGGAGCTGTTGGTCTAGTCTCAAAGCAAGAAGCTGCTGGATGACTTTAGAGGGGTTTGGCCCTCTAAACGAGAGGAAATATCGAAGCACAATGTTTTATGCTCTAGACACACTCACACTCACAATATTACTTTGATTATCATTGTGATTATATTAGTCTTTGACAATAACAAAAAAATAAAATAACAAGGCACTAGGTTGATAGAACAGTAACAATTAAAACAATAAAATATGTATGGGACAATGTACAGTCGCTCAGTCATTCTCACAAAATAAACCACAAAATGGTAGATCAAACTATACCAAATAAATCAATATAAAATTAAATAAAACATTGCATAAAATAAATACAAATACAAACAGACACTTGTGGAATGCTGATATAATAGGCTGATTTCATGATAATTATAGGCCAGGATGCCTTTGACATTAATCCATTATATAATGTTATATAAGCTATATAAGATAAGTCCAGAATTTTTGGACTTTGTTTCATTTGAGTAATATTAGTTACAAATTTAAAATGATATGCATTCAACCCATGCAGCACGCATAAGGTTCCATTAGTTAATGTATTAACTAACATGAACGAACAATGAACAATACATTTATTACAGTATTTATTAATCTTAGTTAATGAGAATACAGTTGTTCACTGTTAGTTCATGTTAATTCAGAGTGCATTAACTGTTAACAAGCACAACTGTTGATTTTAATAATGCATTAGTAAATGTTGACATTAACATTAATTAAGATTAATAAATGCTGATGAACTATTGTTTATTCTTAGTTCATGTTAACTAAAGTAGTCCAGTTTTATTGTGTTACTTTCAGTAGCCTAAAAGTGTGGTTATTTTATTGACTTGTGTTTTTTAAATTCAGTATCATTAAAATTGAGTTAAATTGAAAAAAGTCTTACAAAATTACTTTATATTATTTAATAAAATAATAAATAATCAATTCAAAGCATTTTCGGTTTCGTTTTTTGGCCAAGTGCATCCAGAGTTTTCATTTCGGTGCATCTCTAATTGAAATAAATGCTATGATTCATTCAAATAAATGTGATCTTACCGCACTATTTCATCTCTGTCTGATTTGAAGCAGGCAGAATGCTAGAGCTAACTGACAGAAATAACTGTCATTTTTACCCTTCAGGTCAAATATTGCGCCGCAAAGAGCAATACTAGTTTTAACTTGCCTACAACTTGGCAAATGACCATGGAATAAGCAGGATAATCAACGGCTTACCGTGCATTAAAAGGATTTTGTTATTAAAGGATTATTTTTTAAAGGAGCCGCTTCGTGTTGGGTGGTTCTTGGCCTCCACGTATATGTGTATATATATATATATATATATATATATATATATACATAACCAACCCCAAACTTTTGAATGGTTATATGTATGTTACAACTCTGATCAGAAGTCAATTACAACCCACACATAACTGTACCAGAAATTCATTAATAACAGTCTTACCTTATAAAGCTGGCGATGTAAACATTTACAAATGTGGCCATAAGGTACTGACAGTCGAAACGATCCATGATTCCTCCATGACCTGGAATGGTGTTTGCAAAGTCCTGCAGTGATGGACATCAGAGAGACTGTATGAGCAGAGTGTAAAACACAGAACTGGAAATTCTTCAGGTACACTGAAGCTCTGTGCCACATCTAAATGAGTCTTTCACTGTTACTGCATAGACAGACAACTTAAGTGGCCTTGTGGTGAAGAATGCTGTAGGTAATAGTGAAACCAAGACTGAAGCATTTTCCTTTCAGATCTGATGATCTGTGGGTGCTCAAATTACACCCACCTTGATTTTGAAGGCCCTTTTGAAGCCACTGGCGAAAAAGCCTCCAAAAGGTCCCATGATGGAGGCAAATGCTGACAGGGCAATGCTGTGGATCTGGAATGGGTACAACTTTACTGTGGTCTAAGAGGAAAATGGGAGAGAGATGGAAATGTGTAAGAAACGGTCTTTATTTGTATGCAATTTCAAAATACATCAAATGTAATATTTTTTCTTTTATTCAGGATTCTGCTTTTGCTCAAAAATGGTGGTCCAAAAATGTCAGCATCAATAAAACACAGAGTCAAGCAGAGCTGTGACAGATTCACAGCAAGTGGGAAGTCAGCAGATGGCTGTGTCTGAGTAACTGGTAAACACAGACACAAAGATCAGAAAAATAACAAAAAGAGACATGAGAGACATGAGGAGTAAGTGTCTTAACAGACGGTGTATGTGTGAGTGTGTGTGCTTTACCCAGCCCGTGATGGACTTCAGTACAGGCGGCAGACCGTAGTCCTGCAGCTGGAAGAGCTCAGACGGCTCACAGTCTACTGTGAAACTGTTGGAGTCATTGTTAAACTCCACAGGACACACAAAGAAGCGGTAACCTGACATCACGTAGGACAGCTGGAGAAGGGACGAAATGTGATGTGTTATCATTCTGATACATCAAATTAACTTTTAAAAGAACTAATCAGCCCCTTCCAAGGTGTCAATCAAGGCAATTCTTATTCTTACATCACCAAGGTTCCCAAATCTACATAAAAACATTCAGCAAAGACCAGACGAAGAACAGGAAGTGGGTTATTACTACTCACTAGGATTCCAAAAACAACCGTGGCAAAGAAGCCACCGATAAACCCCTCCCACGTCTTCTTAGGAGACAACTGCAGAGAAAATTCAGCATTAAGAGAACTGTACTAAAAATACACAACATTACACAGAAGCCAGAAAGTAGTTAGTTAAGCCACACTCAAAAAAAGTATGAATGTTGCTGCATTAGACAGACACATTAAAAAGCAACTGCTTTTTATTTTAAAGAGCGATAGCACAAGCACACATTTCAAGCAAAATATTTTACAAAAAGAAGATAATTCATTAGTTAATTTTTACATCATAAAACAGCAGATATACAGATTAAACTTAAGTATTCAGACGCTCTCTGATTGTCAAACATTAGCGGATAGTTTATAGTTTGTGATAAATACACCTACTAGGACATTAAACAGAACATCCAATAAAACACCAGTTGATTAAAAACAATAGCTAAAATTACGAGTAAGCAACTTTACCACACTACTGTTCAAAAGTTGGGATAACTAAAAATGAAAAAAGTACTTTTATTTAGGCAATGGTGCATTGAATGAATCAAAAGTGAGAAATCTATTTCAAATAAACCCTCTTGTTTTACTAGCATAAAAGAAGCTTGTGAAAAAAAGTATCACAGTTTCCACAAAAGCACAGCGTTAAGCAGCACAATTGTTTCAAAAAATTCAGAAATGCTGATTTTTGTACCAAATTAGCAAGTTGGAATCATTTCTGAAAGCTCACGTGACACTGAAGCCTGGAGTAAAGGCTGAAAATAAAGCTTTGACATCAGGAATTGATTACATTTTTTAATATTTTAAAACCGAAAACAATTATTTTAAATCATAATAATATTTTACAATAATACTGTATTTTTGATCAAATAAATGCAGCCTTGGTGAGCATAAAAGACTTCTGAATAGTAGTGTAAATATTATACTGTACCACCATTTTATTATATTTCACATGTAGTAATATGTGATTTTTTTAAATATTATTTAACTGGGGTGTTAAAAACACAAACCTTGATGAGAGGGGTGCGACCGAAAAAGAAGCCAAACATGTAAGCCATGATGTCATTACAGATAACACAGGAGATGGGCACAATAAACCTGCGCACACAGAAACAGATTATCTTATGCAAACAGATCACCTACAACAGAAAACCAACTGTACTGTATCTAATATTGTGGAATGACACTGGATTGAAAAATTGAAATCTGTAAATGTCCTATGGGTTTTGATAGTGGTACACAGGAGGCATCATCTTACCAGATCATCCCCTCAAACAGGTTATGAATGATTAAGTGGGACTGAGTCACCACAATCAGCAAGGTCACATGAGTCCAGCCGAACTGGGGAGAGAGAAAGACGGAATGAATAACTCTATTCACTTCAAATCTGGGACAAAAGACAGTGCCATGATACGGAAAAGTGTAGGGTCTGTGTCCAAGTGCTAGAAAACATGACAAATGAAAAGTGTGTTTGTAGAATGTCAAACACAGGGTATGTGAGCGTGTGTGTACAAAAAACACTCAAATTACACTAAACTTGTTCTATGGACTATGCACTCACCATGTAGAACTGCAGGCGATAGTGTTTTTTCACCAGGCTCAGAACAAACATGCAGAACCCTGGAAAACGAAAACGAAAACACACACACACACACACACACACACACACACACACACATCTGGTAAAACAGACAGTTCCACCAATGCCATCCCCACGTCTATGGGACTATTTTAGGCCAGTCACACTGTCACTAATTATGTCCTGTTTGTCAGGAACCAGCCAGTGGCCAAGAAAACCTGTCCAAGCCAAACCAAACACATTGAAAAGACACACACACACACACACAAACAAACTACATAATCTGCAGGACATGGAAGGTTTATACATTTTTTTAACAGTCTGCCTAACAAACTCACAACACATGATGAACTGATGATATTGTTTATAACTGATGATCTTGTATAACTTTACACCAATAAACACTGTTGTTGCTCTTTATAAAAACAGAACACTGATATATATTTTAAATAGACGTGTTTCCATTCCAACTCAGTCATAATTGTAATGTATACACTCTAGCCGTGCTACACAAAAAATGTATGAAATATCAGAATAATTGTTACAAATAATCGATTAAGTACTCCTAATATAGCAAGGAACTTTGTCTGTATGTCTTCCTTCTGAACCATATATAAATGACAAGACATGTTATCAATTTTTATTTCATTTTAATTGATAACTATCATTTTAGTTGATACTTATTGTGCTCTTCTTATCGTGTTCACGTTCAGGTCCCAAATTTTGACCTAACTGCCTATTTTGTTACATATTGTGGTTTGGTGTGTCATAATATATTAATCACAAAAATATATATTTTCTTTGTACTTCCTTTATTTTCTTGCTTCGATGAGCATTGTTTAATTGCCTGTTTTAATTGCTGTTGTGATAAAATGTTAATATATATTTTTTAAAAACAAGAAGAAAAAACATTATGACTTGTTGCTTCTCATTTAGCTTCTAAAGAAATCTGCTGTGTTGCATCTTTTTGAAAGAGAAAATGAGCGAGGGGTGCTCAGACAGGCAGAGAGCCTAACCACATCCTGGATGACATTACCTTCACGCTTATGAAAAACCAACACCCCAAAAAACTAAAATCATTCCATCTGCATTTCAACTGTTAACATAAATCACATTTTGAAGACTGCATCTGATTTTGCTTTCAGCATTCTGTGTGGAAAAGTAGGAGTTGTTGAAACTATTACTTCCCAAAGGCTTTAAAGCCAGAAACATCAATGGCAAAAAAAAGTGGCATGCATGTAGGAAAGACAAGGTTCTAACCTGTGAGGTACAGGGCAAAGGAAATGAAGCGGTGGTATTTGCTGAGGATGCGTAGAGGCTCCTCCCTCTGCACCAGCGTGAAGAAATAATCTGTCACCGTTTCACCATAGAAGAAGTAGTTCACACACAACAGGAAGTACCTGACAAAAACCGTTAAAACTGGCAGTCAGACATTATTGTGACAAAGTCCTTTCATATCCATTCATTAATCAAAAGTGTTTCTAACGGTCGTCAAAGTAATTATAATGGGCCAATTTGTTAGCAATAGGAAATGTAGGAAATGGTCAGACTGTAGCTGAGCAGCAGCTCACTAAGATTATGGCCACATGGAAGAATGGCATGTCGGGCTACACCGAAGGACTAATGTAGAGAAATGGTTCTACTTATACCTGATTTGCCAGATATCTAATTTATAAAAACCTAAAAACAAGTTCAAAGAAAAGTTCACCAGTTGAAACATGGCACATCAAGAAATGTCATACTTTGCACAAAAGAAAAATAATGAAGATGTTTTGCATTAAAGAAACTGAAGCCTATATTTAGATTTTTTTTATTTTTAGGATTTTTATATATAACTATATACAGGTATATCTAAAAAAAAATCAGAATATCATGAAAAAGGTCAATATTTTTTGTCACTCATTTCAGAAAGTGAAACCCATTTATTATATAGATTCATTACACATAGAGTGAAATATTTCAGGCCTTTATTTCTTGAAATGTTTATGATTATGGCTTACAGATAATGAAAACCCCAAATTCAGTCTCAGAAAATTAGATTACATAAGATCAATAAAAAAGGATAGTTTAAACCGAAATGTCAGGCTTCTGAAAAGTATGTTCATTTCTATGCTCTCAATACTTGGTTGGGCCTCCTTTTGCATGAATTACTGCATCAATGCGGCGTGGCATGGAGGCAATCAGCCTGTGGCACTGCTCAGGTGTAATGGAAGCCCAGGTTGCTTTGATAGCAGCCTTCAGGTCATCTGCATTGTTGGGTCTGGTGTCTCTCATCTTCCTCTTGACAATACCCCATAGATTCTCTATGGGGTTCAGGTCAGGCGAGTTTGCTGGCCAATCAAGCACAGTAACACCATGGTTATTGAACCAGCTTTTGGTACCTTGTGGGCAGTGTTGGCAGGTGCCAAGTCCTGCTGGAAAATGAAATCAGCATCTCCATAAAGCTTGTCAGCAGAAGGAAGCATGAAGTGCTCTAAAATTTCCTGGTAGATGGCTGCGTTGACTGTGGACTTCAGAAAACACAGTGGACCAACACCAGCAGATGACATGGCAGCCCAAATCATCACTGACTGTGGAAACTTCACACTGGACTTCAAGCAAGATGGTTTCTGTGCTTTCTTGATTTCCAAATGAAATGCTAAATGTTCTTTCATCTGAAAAGAGGACTTTGGACCACTGAGCAACAGTCCAGTTCTTTTTCTCCACAGCCCAGGTAAGACACTTCTGACGTTGTCTGTGGCTTGACACGAGGAATGCGACATTTGTAGCCCATGTCTAGGATTCATCTGTGCGTAGTGGCTCAAAATATTGACCTTTTCATGATATTCAAATTTTTTGAGATGTACCTGTATGTACCCAATCCTATTCCTGGAGATCAACCCTCATGCAAAGTTAAGCTCCAACTTAAATATAAGCAAAAACAATTCATAAAATTGATTCATAGTTCTTTCTTTTTTTATTTTGGACATGAAAATATGGCATTTCTTCATAAGAGATACTCAAAAACCTTGTATTTAAAAAAGGATCTCAGATTACTACTCCAGAGCTTCTACATACTGAAATTTGGCATCGAGAGACCTGATTTTTGCCAATTTTGCCATGTTGTTCCAAACCCGTAAGAACACAAATTAAGATATGTTTGATGAAATCCTAGATGTACCTGTATGTACCCAATCCTATTCATGGAGATCAACCCTCATGCAAAGTTAAGCTCCAACTTAAATATAAGCAAAACCAATTCATAAAATTGATTCATAGTTCTTTCTTTTTTTATTTTGGACATGAAAATATGGCATTTCTTCATAAGAGATACTCAAAAACCTTGTATTTAAAAAAGGATCTCAGATTACTACTCCAGAGCTTCTACATACTGAAATTTGGCATCGAGAGACCTGATTTTTGCCAATTTTGCCATGTTGTTCCAAACCCGTAAGAACACAAATTAAGATATGTTTGATGAAATCCGAGAGCTTTCTGACCCTGCATAGTCAGCAACACAACTACCACGTTCAAGACCCAGAAAGGTAGCAAGGACATCGTTAAAATAGTCCATGTGACATCAGTGGTTCAACTTTAATTTTATGAAGAATACTTTGTGCACGAAGAAAACTAAAATAACTTTATTCAACAATTTCTTGTATTCTTCTCTTATATTTCATCAAAAATATAACTATATATCTTTATAAATATATCTTTGTGTTCTGAAGATGAACGAAGGTCTTTCTGGGTTTGGAACGACATGAGAGTAATTAATGACAGAATTTTCATTTTTGGGTGAACTATCCCTTTAACGCAACACTGAATTCTAAAACTTTAAATAGTATTCAGTGGGATTTTCACATTACTTAAACGTGGTGAATCTTTTTTCACATTTGAAAAACTACACTACAGTTTGAATGTGGTCTAAACCAGAGTGAATTTCCATACCTCTATACAGCTGGTGATAGCATGTATAGCTGGATGAATAAACAAGTGCAGCATTTACTAATTTTTACACAGAAAATTAAAGAACTTGTAAGACATCAAGACAGCCATATTATGATAAGATGAAAGTGATGATGATGATGCCCTCTAATTACAGGCAGTGCACAGTGGGAGAGAGAGACAGAGAAAGATCTGGGTGACAGATAATGAGAAAAGGGAGAGAGGGAGAGACAATGAAGGTGGCAGGTGCGTGTCGTGGGTCTCACCAGCTTAGTGTTCTGAACCAGGGCAGGTGGTAAGAGTGATACACGCTGTAACCAATTGTGATGATCTCATGGAAGCACTTGATCTGAACACACAGCACCTGTGGAAGACACAGAGGACAACAATAAAAAAAACAACAGGCAACTACTCTGAAGTGCTCTTTCTAGCTGTTTTTTAAAGCAAGATTCCATCCTGTGTTTTTGCTGCTTTAACTGGCAGTCAATAAAGCTTATTCAATCTTTAAATGTCTTAGATGACATGATATAGCAGGACCACATCAGTTATCAGACAATATTAAAAATGAATCACAATTATGGAAATCTGAATTTGAATTAAGTTTGGACACTCTTCCACCTATTTTGGTATTTTAGATTATGTAACGCCAACTAGTGCTAAAATAGTTGTAAAATTAGAGCAGAACTTTAGTATTATTTATATATTATTATTGTATTTAATAATAGTTTCATTTTAAAGTTTTTGTAATTTTGTTAGGTGTATTTGTGAATTTCAATTTAGCTTTAAAATATTTTTATTTCAGTTTTAGTTTGAGTAAATTTAGGACTTAAACTTATTCCAGTTAGTTGGCATGACAACATTTCTGTACAATTCTATATATTTCCATATTTTATTGATTAAAATGTTGTGAATCCTGAATTCACTTCAGCATCACAACATGAGACTGAAAAACTATTGAGTGTGTAGTGCATATTTTTTATACATAGTATAGATTTTTAATATCGTTAGCAGTAATTTTTTGTAACATGCAAATAATTGTAGGCTATAATATCTGAAAAAGCCAGATTATGGAACAAAGTGGACACTGATTATTCAAAGACTACAATGACGTCTCATGAATATATCTGCGGCCCTGCTCGAACATAACCAATTCAGCAGCTCAGCTGAGTAATAATGTTTGATAATGTTGACAGGATAACCAACATCGGTACTCATCTGTCATGTGTAAAAGCAACAAAGAGACAATATCTAGTAGATTCTTAAGTGAAAATGTCTGTTGGTGTTTACAACAACAAGAAGAGAAAATACTTACAATCATCATCAGCACCATCGGACCGAGATAAATAATGATAAAGAAGAAGGAGATCATAGCCAGTGTGAGGATGCCCCTCACCCACCAGTTCTTCCATCTGCAGGAGAGACAAACACATTAACACAAAGCATATTGGTTGGAAATATAATCTTCCTAATGCGAGGACTAAAAGCTCCGGTGGCCTTTTTATTGAATGAATCATCTGTTGTTCACAGCAACATGCCAATAATCTGCTCTGGACGCTTTAGACACACTTTTCATCTCATGTCACATGCAAGTGTGTTCTACTTTACTAAAGAGTCATTTTAATCGCAGATTTAAAGAGGTTTACCGTGAGGAAAGGCCAGAGAGGGCTTTGTTGAGAACCTCTGGTGTGTCATCGGCAGAAACGGGAACCTCAGGAACCCCAGAGTCTGACTTGGTCTCATTGTCCGAGGCTCCATCTCTCTCCTTGCCCTCTGTTTCAGAGCCCTGGAGACAGTTGGAGAGAAAAATAAATACAAAAGAGATTAATTAATCTATCAAAATAGACATTTGTTCATTTGCAAAGAATTCTGAATACTATTTTACCTACTGTTTTACAGTTTGGGATCAGTAGGGTTGGGAATCAAAAATCAATTCCTATTCCAGATGCTAAAGGTCAGGAATTGGATATTTGTTGTAAAATTTACATTTCGATTGCTGTGCGCGCATCTTTTTTTAGGTGGCGAAATGGGGCTGTTAAAAATGTATTTGTCTTTGAATCATTCATTCAAGAGATTAATTCAAAAACACGGATTCATCCAGTAATGAAAGAGTCACTGAATCATTCATTCATAAATTCCATGAGATTTTGTTTCGTCGTCTAATATTTTTTCTTCAGAATTGTGAGAGAACCACAACTTCCATTGAAAAAATTTTTTTTGAACACAAACAGCTCTTACTAGAGTCCAGTTTTTATGTAGCAAGCTGATTTTTGTTCAGCAAATAAATGTTTTGCAAAAAGAGACACAGAATAAATATGTTTGATATCTAAATGTTTGACTTCAATATTTTTTTAACCACATTGAAACTGAAACCGGGAATCGATAAGCATAATTTAAATCAGAACTGGAATTGATCAAATGTAAACGAAACCCAACCCTGGGAAAGGTAAGAGTTTTTTTTAAATAAGAAATTAATACTTATTTTCAGCATGGATGAAAAAACAAAATGTCTCTAAAAAAAATGTATCAGGATTTCAACAGAAAATATGAAGCAGCAGAACTGTTTTCACCATTGATAATAATAAGAAACGTTTTTGAGCACCAAATCAATTTCCAATTCATTTCCGAATGATCATGTGACACTAAACATTTGAGTAATGATTAGAGCCCGACCGATTTGGGTTTTTTGGGGGCCGATACCGATATTAGGGAGTAAAAAAAGACAGATACCGATATATCGGCCAATATTCTTTATGTGTAGGCTATATTATAGTACAGTATAGTCAAAAGTTTGGACACACTTCCCATTCATGTGTCCAAACTTTTGACTGGTACTGTATATAGAATAGAGTATATAGCCCACATAAACAGAATATATATACACATAACCACATTTTTTGCAATGATAACTCAAATATGATGATCAAACACTTATAAAGATGTGACAAACAAAGGCCTATGTAGTGGAGGCAGCGTATTTAACAATTTAACAATAAACTTTATTATATAAAATGTAACTAGGTTACAACTAGGTGACAACGTAGCGTTAAATTACCATTCAACAGACTCAAGCCACCACCGCACTGCCATCTATTGGACTGCAGAAAGATACTAACTTTTCAATCTGCTACGTTACTGACTGTGTACAGACAAACTATGCTGACACCGTGTCTGCGCCGCAACAGGACGCGACAAAGTGACCGTTGAAAATCATTTGAACTTCTGTCAGCATGTCATAAATAGAACGAGGCGTCAGTTTACTGAATCCGGTGTACACATCACTGATTATAATGGGTTCTATTCTACACCGGATGCGAGCGGCGCGACAAAATACAATATATTTCTATTGTATTTTGTTGCGGGATGCGATGTGATGTGACCGATGTGATTTGCATGAGTTCTGGGCCGCAGGTTTTATCTGCGTTATATGTTCTGTAAAAAAAAATGTCATATCGGTGGCATATTCACCAATACCGATATATCGGCGACAGGCTCATATCGGCCGATAATATTGGCTAAACGATCTATCGGTCGGGCTCTAGTAATGATGCTGAAAATTCTGCTTTGCCTTCACAGGAATAAATTACACATTAAAACATTAAAATAGAAAGCACTTCTTTTAAATTACATTCATATTTCACAATATTTCTGTTTGTACAGTATTTCTGAGCAAATAAATGCAGCCATCTGTATCTAACAGGCCTGTGTGTCTAAGTAGCCTGTTGCACAATTACAAACATCCTGCCTTCTTCATCCCCATAGCAACAGGCTGTCATCATCAGATGGTGCTGCACCAGTTGGTCGAGCTGTTACGATTGTTCCAGAAACCTCTTTCTATCCATCTGACATAAATAACTTTGATCTGATTACGACGAGCACCCTCAAGCCAACATATATTTACGGCTGACACTCATCTGACAGTAAGAGCTACGGAAAGATCCAGGGCTTCCATGGAGACCGACTACATCCTGATATTCAAGATGCCAGAGATAAAAAATACCCTCCCGCGCACCTCCCACCTCCTCCCCCGTCTCTTAAATGCTCCGCCGACCGCAAATAGATCATCAGGAACTGAGGACATCCCACTCTTCCTAAGAAAGACATTTTCAGTCTTCCTGCCAGGTTTGACCCACACTCGTCTCAGAGTATGAGCAACACTTCTGACGAAATTGGCGGACGGCAGCGTTAGCCATCTGGAAACGTGGAATTCCCCGACAAACATAACATCAATGACAGTCTACAAAAGAGATGACTGATGTAAGTGTGTGTTAAATGTCACATTCATTAAAAACAAAGTCTGACGGTATTTGGTGTTCAGGCAGGGAAAACATATCAAATTTGCACGAAATTTCCAACATTCGTATTCGATTCGTATACATTTCGCCCCTAGTGGCAGTTGCAGTGAACTTTTAAAATGGTCATATAAACGAATGATGAATGCATGAATATATACACAGTTTTTGGGAGTAACTAGTTACATGTAACGGAGTTATGTAATTCAATTACAAAATAAATGTAACTGTAGTCTGATTCAGTCGCTGAGAAATTTTTTTTTAATTAAATTAGTTACTTTCGAAAATGTTAACATTTGATTGATTTCTTTCCCAAATTGTATTGACTTTCACAAAATTCACAGTTCGGTTTGATATGACACAGCGGTGTCATGGTTCGGTATTTGAGATACAGCAAAAAGAAAGAAATGCAGGAGAAATTTCCTCGATTTTTACATTTTTTTTATTTATTAAAACTAACATCATAAAGTATGATCTTTTCTTTTACTTTAAACAATGCAGTGTGCCGAACAACAGTCGCATCTTAGATCAGCGGCAGGAGTCGGATTTCATTTAGGCCTATCATGCGAGTGAGTCGAGCTCACGAGTGAGGTTAGAAAGACAAGAAGTTGGCGAAAGATTGTTTCGAAACGAAATACAAAAGCGGCTGCTTTAAAAAATATTTTAGACTTTGGAAGGCGTTTTGTTAATAAATTAAACATTCTAGGTTTAATATAAGTGAGTTTGTCGTACTGTTTTGTTTTTGTCAATTCAATCAATTGACGCCGAATTGACGCTAATTTGGAAGTGAAAGTAAAATGCGCACAGGCATTTACAAGCTATTTAAATGCGAGGAAAAGAGGGAAAACTCTAAATGAACTACCTCACCATCACAACCCTACTGGAGTAGCGTGCTTTTCTTAGGGGGTGGGAGGGCAGACATCACATTGCCTGTTACGTCGTTTGGGCTGCCTTGTTGAGCACAGTGGCACTCAAGAATAGGTCTCTGCAAGAAAGTAATGGGAGTTACCAGATTGGGGCGTTTTTAGACCATGTTTCCTGATTGGCTGACGTCATAGTGATGGTAGGTTTAGGGGTGGGGTTAGGTAAGGGGGATCATTTTGATTGCATGATTGAGAAACACCCTGCAGTTTGAAAACACCCACAAATTCAGAAATGCCCACTTTTGCTCTGCAGAGAGCTCCATCTCGTGGCACTAAGAACATTATATTTCACACACTTTAAGCTCTTTTATTTTCCAGATGTAATAGGATTAGTCCAACGAATCGTTCAGTTTGTAATGATGGTAGGTTTAGGGGTGGGGTTAGGTAAGGGGGATCATTTTGATTGCATGATTGAGAAACACCCTGCAGTTTGAAAACACCCACAAATTCAGAAATGCCCACTTTTGCTCTGCAGAGAGCTCCATCTCGTGGCACTAAGAACATTATATTTCACACACTTTAAGCTCTTTTATTTTCCAGATGTAATAGGATTAGTCCAACGAATCGTTCAGTTTGTAATGCGTACCGAACCGAAAGCCTCGTACCGAAAGGTTCAATACGAATACGTGTATCATTACACCCCTAGTATTAACGTCTGTAAAATATGAGATAATCAATGTTTCAGGAGTTTAAGACACAGAATAGGGCACATGCTTATTTGATAACCATTTTATTTCTTATTTAGGTTTATGTATATGCTTTATTTTTTAAATTAACTTTTTTTAATCATTAGTATCATAGCTTTTAAACAATATCTTGTTATGATTTCAAATCTGTATTTAACCTCAGAAAAATCTCAAAGTAAAAGAAGTGCTAAAGTCTGATTTTGTGGTGGCTGTGCTTCAAAGTTTCATTTTTATAACCTTAATTTATAATGAAGGATTTTTGAAAGTAATCAGTGTTGAGTACTACTGTTGAAAACATTCATTAGAAATTTAGAAAAGTAATCAAATGTAATCCGTTACATTACTTTAATAAAGTAACTGAAATAGTTACACTACTTGTTACATTTAAAATAGGGTAACTTGTACATTTCCAAAATAACCTTCCCAACACTGTATATCCACATAGAACAACTGATTGCCAATATATCTGAAAGAAAAACATAAGAGGTTTTCTAGCGATAGTCAACATAAATAATTATTTTATTATAAAATAACTATTTTACAAATAATTATTCATAACCACCAAATTTACAGAAAGTGTGTTTAAAGAATAACATTTTAGTGCATGGAAAAATATTCCTAATTCTCACTTTGTTCTTTATGAATTTCATAGGTTTTATTAGAATACACCACATTTGTTCTGGCTGTCACATACGGTCTCAATTTACTTTTTTAATAAAATCTGAACTCCACACAGCTCCCACACTCTTCTTTGAAAATTAACGATTTCTGGTCTGCCGTTTGTCAGTAAAAATGCAGTTTAACTTCTATACACTTATAACACCTGTATATCCCCCTTCTGATTTAAGCTATATTCTAGTCTAACAGGTCTAAATCAGGCATACAGCCACACAACCTCCCTAGACAAACATTTACAGTAGAATGGGCTGTACTAAGGAGCTCAGTGACTTTCAACGTGCCAGTGACATAGTATACCACCAGTAAAATTATTTGGTCAGCTGTAATTTACCTAACCTTATCCGGTACAAGAATTTACCTAACCCAGGGGTGTCCAATCCAGCGCCTAGAGGGCCATTGTCCTGCAAAGTTTAGCCAGAGATTGTCTTATTATTGGGAGATATGAGGGTCTATATTACTTACCATTGTAAAAAGCATAATAATCAACTTGGATCATGTGTGCCTTGATAACCAATCACATTACAACCTTGACGTCATTCGCTGTGTGACAGTCAATCGCTGTTTATGGATACTATAGGAATGAATGAGAAGTGCCATAAACTAAATCCTACCAGTCACAAAAAAGTCCATGATTTCTCTTATAAAATTGAATTTTTTTCGGTGTAAACTCTAAAAATAGTTCAATCCAAAACCATTGTTTAAAGGAGTAGTTCACTTCCAGAATGAAAATTGTCATCATTTACTCACCCTCCACTTGTTCCAAACCTGTATGAGTTTCTTTCTTCTGTTGAACACAAAAGAATATATTTTGAAAAATGTTAGTATCCGAACAGTTGATGGGCACCATTGACTTCCATAGTAGGTAAAAATACTATGGAAGTCAATGGTGCCCATCAACTATTCGGATACCAAAATTTTTAAAATATCTTCTTCTGTGTTCAGGAGATGAAAGAAACTCGTACAGGTTTGGAACAAATGGAAGGTGATTGTCATTCTGGACGTGAACTACTCCTTTAATGACAAGATTAGCCGATAGGCTGTCGATTCATTAAATGATAAGCGGTTACCTCAATAAAACTGTTTATTCAGCATAGTGAAGCCTCTTCTCCACTGACATCCATTAAAAAAACGGCCTCTGGTCTCCTTACCTGCGTACCACCAACAGAGTTGAAATACAGAGAAATCTTGGACTTTCTGCGAGTGGTAGGATTTAGTTTATGGCACTTATTCATTTCTATAGTATCTGTAAACAGCAATTGACTGTTGCACAACTCTGTTTGAAATTCAGTGACTTTAAGGCTGGAATGTTAGCAATAGCATTAGCCATTTTGCTTTTTTTTTTAGGCTAAAGGTTGCAGGCTTGCCTTCCAGTGGCTTTGGTTTAACTCCAACTCCAATTAAACACACCCGAACCAGCTAATCAAGGTCTTACTAGTCATACTAAAAACTTCCAGGCAGGTGTGTTAAGGCAAGTTGGAGCTAAACTCTGCAGGACAGCGGCCCTCCAGGACCATGTTTGGACACCCCTGACCTAACCCTAACCCTAACCCTATCTGGACAGACGAGACCCTGACAATATTCAAAACTCATCTCTTCTGTGAGCACTTAACTGCATCCTGCTATATCCCTCCTTCTTGTAGCTTCTACAATTCTGGACAATGTTTGAAACTTTGCATTGTGTTATTGCCTCTCTCTGGTGAATCACTTGTTGTATTTCTCATTTAAAAGTCACGTTAGATAAAAGTATGTGCTAAATGAACAAACGTAAATGTAAAAGAATTTGACTAGCCTGCACGAAGAACAGACCTGAACGCCTTTGAGATGGACTTAAACAACAACTAACAAGAGGGAAGCGCGTTATAGCAAAAAATTAAATATTAACACCAATGGTTTTGAAAACAAGCACATACGGGTGAGGTGTCCACATACTTTTGGCCATGCAGTGTACTTCATCCTAAACTCAACAGGGACACAGTGTCTTTCTCCATTTCATTACAATGGCATAGTTTAGTCTAATGTAATAAACTCAGCAGGCCTCTCTCGCCTCACGAATGAATTCTTAAAATCTCGCAGCAACACAAATAATAATATCTTGGGAGATGCGTTAAAACTCCACTGTTTGGTGAACATACAGGTTTGGAATAACATGAGGTGAGTAAATGATGACAGAATTTTCATTTTTGAGAAAATATCCCTTTAACATGAATCAAATATGACTGTGCTTCATTAAAAAAAGAAAATCTGACATGATGTGATACTATTGTTGTTGGGGTTTTTTTTTCTTCAGAAGAAAAATCTGAGAAGCAGGAAATAAAAAATCTGATATGTAATGCCTTGTTTGAATGATTCAATCATTTTGCAATGCACAAAAACAAAACCTATACTCAAAATTATATTTTGCTCTGAAATATGTCAGATTATAGAAGCAAAATGAGTTGCAAACTTTCATTCTGACTTTAAATACCAAATATACAGACACTAGACAAAAAAATAAAAATATGGTTAGAGTCAGAACATGACCACATTCAGATCATTTGCCTGACCGCTGATATGCGAATGAAGGCAGCGCAAGGTTTTTCATTTGCATGATCAAGTATTAGGTCTTTGTGTTTCATATGAAAAATGAATCTATTTAGCACAATGTGGACACTGTCAAGCATAGCTACACTTACCCACGCTTGGGTTATTCTTTCATCACTCCAGCATTTTGACAGCACTACAGATAGAAGAAGCTGTAGTTTCTTCTTTTGAAATAAATTCAGAACAAACATACAACATAGCATGCAGAAGGAAGTCATATCCATCCATCCATCCTCTATATGGTGAAACGCCAAAACCGAATGACCAAAGAAAATGGTCAGAAACTATTGACCATGTATGTTCAGTGTTGGGGAAAGTTACTTTTAAAAGTAATGCATTACAACATTGCGTTACTCCATAAAAAAGTAACTAATTACGTTACTTAGTTACTTTTTATGGAAAGTAATGCGTTACGTTACTTTTGCGTTACTTTTTAAATCTGGACAGGGCTTGCTTGTTTGTTTTTAAAATTAAAAAGTTATATTTTTGGCAAGTATATAAAAGCCTTTTCACACCAAAAGTGCATGAATAAGCCTCAAGCTGAAGGGAAAGTACATTTACGTCCGTACAGTAGAATGCAGAAGAAGACATTTCAACACACTTCAGCAATAAAAAAAGACTCACAATGTTCATCTAGAGTAATTTGTGTTTATTAGTACGCTTGAACCGGATCATCGAAGGTCAGAAGCAAATAGAATGGGATTAAATACATAAAGGATATTTGTGTTGTTTAACATTTAATTATTGCAGGTTTGCGTCATATTCTGAGTTGCATTATTTTTATTCATTTTGAGGAATACTGAATCGGTGTGTTTTTTTGTGTGAGTGAGATGAATTAATGCATATTCATATTTATTTTAGAACTACAGTAACATCTGATTTCTCTCAACATGGGGACAGCAGAGCTGTCAGTCAATAAATTGGGGGGGGAAAGTAACTTGCGTTACTTATTTGAAAAAGTAACTCAGATATTCTCTTGTAAATTAAAAAGTAATGCATCACTTTACTAGTTACTTGAAAAAAGTAATCCGATTACGTAACTCGCGTTACTTGTAATGAGTTACCCCCAACACTGTGTATGTTTACAGATAAAAGCTGCACGTAAGACAGTTTACCCAGGAATTCTTTACTGTAGTCCTTTCAATAACATTATCACATCCTACTGATAAAAGCTGCCTCTCTATAACCCCCAAAAAACGTGGATAAATACAAAACAGCACAGAATTTGTAAAGAATCCGTCAAATGTTAAGTCATTCAAATGAGTCTTGTTTATATACCGTGATCTTGCTGTAAGGGTTAAGCCCATGCCTACAGGTCCAGACGCTTGACACATGAATGTTGACTCACCCATCCGCCCAAGTCTCTCTCAGTCTCCATGTTTTCTATCTTTATAATATCTACACAGCATGAAGATCAGTCCATGCACTCCAGAAATCCTCAAACTAAGCTCGTCCTCAAGAGTTTCACCTCACTGTCCTGAGCTGTACAGAGCAGGGATTGTTCGTGCCACTTCACTTTATTTCAGCAACTGCGAGAAATACAATAAGGCCTTGTAGTGTATTGTTTTGTTGGGACACACTGAGGAAACCTTCAGTACATAAGAAGAACGTCAGACCCTTTAAGATGCTCAGACTCTCCTCTAGCTGTACTCTGCTATATTACACACCCATGAACGCTGGAAAATACAATCATTGATCAAACCAGAGCATTAAAAGCTGCTTTCGTGCTGTGACAGGACACTTGCTGGCGATATCCAGAAGCACAACGACCTGTAATCGATTGTTTTCTCTCTCTTCATGTATGACAGCATGTAACGTTAGCTCAAATGATAGCCGTAACAACAAGCATCTCTCCACATCTCTTTCTTTATTCGTTACCTTATCCTCCGAGTTCTGATGCTGCAGTTCTTTATCCGTCGCTCCTCGGTGGCGTAATTCTGTCATGGTTGACTCGATTTGTTGAAAATAAAGGCCTGATGAAGTGACAATCTTCGGGGGTTGCTGTTCGTTTTCAATGATTGTTATTGGGACGGGAAAGGGAGCGACTGCGCATGCGTGCGCTGAGCGAGAGGGCGGAGCGCCATCTAGTGGCCAGTTCTGAGAAGACAGACAGATAGATTGATTGTCAACAGTAATTTTATTAATTTCGTAGTTTCGCAAAATCATACTCCGAAATAATTTTTTTTTTTAGAAATTAAAAACTGTTAAGTAATGTACTATATAATTAATCAGAATTGATAAATTTTTCCTTGATTATACATTTCACACACCTTCATTATTCATCACAACCTACAGGCTAACTGAGCAGAATTTATAGTCTACAGCTATTATGACAATTACCAACAATATAACTTTACATATAATTCATGTAGGCTAATAGAGCTATTTAGCTCTAAATTTCTGTTTTTTTAATCTGTCGTTATTAAGTTAGGGTAAATAAAAAGCTGTAAAATGCACACATTTACATATACTATATGATTTAGAATTTTACATTAATGGTACCTTTTGCAAAAATATCATTTATTTAAAATAATGCATTGTATTTATAATAGGCCTTGTAGAAATCAGATGACAGTTTAACCTTGTATGTTAGTCGGTGTCTCGATGTCTCCTTTTCATTATGTTCAATATTTTTAGCATCTGTTTTCATTTACTTCTCTAAATAATATATTGTGTATATAACACATAATATATACTGAACATGCTAAACGCACATCTTTATAATTTATGTTACAATTTGTCGTTAAATGCATCTTTCACTAATGCATGGCCTCCATTGGCTGGTCATGTGATCTCAAAATAATGGCCACGATGAGGGCCGATCTACCTAATCTAGAGTAAAATAGTTTTTTTTTAGGCTTTTAATAGTTGTAAGCATTCAAACTATTCATTTCTGTAGATGTGAAGCTGTTTAAAGCAGAAAAAACACTTAGTTTATTTCTAATTTTCATTAACGTTGTGTGACGCATTATATCACAAGATGTTATATTTTAAGTTCAAAACACCTGACTTTTGAACATATGTTCACTCCTCAGTTATAAATATCAGATGAAACACCGCCATCTACCGGACATGCGTATAAACGACACCTACAGGATCCTTACTAGCTTGTTTACACCACGAGAGATTCAACTGGCAAAATTCCCTTTACGACGTACTAATGTAAGTTGCATGCCACGAGCAACTTCTTTTTCTAACATATGAAAGCTGTCTGTAAATATTTTTCATTTGCGGTTTATCTTATATTGACCATAGAGCGTATAGTGACAGAAAATGTAGACGCAAGTTAACTTCCTAAAAGGTTTTTTTCTCATTTAAATGTTTTACCCGTAAAGAAGTGAATACATTTAAAAATCTGTATGTTTAAAATCATAAACACTCAAATGAGATGTGGATTGTAGATATACCAGTAGCCTAACAACAGCCAGAGGCAGATAAACAAACTGTCAAAAGGCCTCCTGACATATTAGAAACATTTAAAGGGGTCATATGATGCGATTTCAATTTTTACTTTCTCTTTGGAGTGTTACAAGCTCTTGGTGCATAAAGAAGATCTGTAAAGTTGCAAAGACTAAAGTCTCAAATCCAAAGAGATATTCTTTATAAAAGTTAAGAGTCAGCCACGCCCCCCTAAAACGGCTCGTTCTAACACGCCTCCACATATCTACCTCACTATGTGGGAAGATTTGCAAAACGCCGCCAAAATGTTTACGCATAGAAAGAAGGCGTAACTTTTATTCTCGCTGTAGTGTTGTTGTTTCCGCTGCCATGTCGTGAAGACGTTGTGTGCTTCGTTGGGAAAGCGAAACTACTTTGTTTGGTCTTCCAAAAGAGGACGATATCCGCTTCGTTATGCCTGGATCTGATCCGTGCTGGTCGCTGAGGGAATACAACAAATTTGCTCTGTGGATCACCGGATCGGCTTTCACCGTGGACGAAGCGGAGTCCAGCCCGGGGTCGTCATATGTCCTTCCGGACACTCCTTCGTCGAAATCGCCGGCTGCGCCGTTTTCAAGCCCGCCTCCTCTGCTCACTTTAACCCTCCGGCCGTTCCTCACGCTAGCCCCCGGCCTCTGCTCACTGTAGGCCGCCGTGTGTGATGCTGTGTTTGTGCAAGCGAAACTACTTTGTTTGGTCTTCCAAAAATGGACACGACTAGAAATCAGTGGTTAAGTTGTATTTACACGGTAATGCTCAAGACAAAAGATTTTTTTTAGTATTTATTCTCAATGTTGAAAACAGTGCTGCTTATTATTTTTTGTGGAAAACTTTGATACTGTGATACTGTCTTTGATTCAAAAGAACATCATTTACAGTATTTGAAATACTGTTACTGTTACTTTTGATCAATTTAGTGCATCCTTGCTAAATACTGACCCCATGATAGTACACCCTTTAAAGTAAATTGAAAGAGAAAGTTGCTAGATTTACAAGTGTTAAATAAAAACATAAATACATCACACAACTGTAAAATGGTTAAAATGGCACCACATACGGACCATCATGTTTTTTAAATTTAGATGTGACAGAAGGTTGATGGGTAATAATGATGTGAAAGTGATGGGTGAGTTGTTTGTTCTGTTTTCACTAGTTTGACACATTCAAGGTTATGTGGGCTATTTGTGATCATGATAGGGGCTGTATCAGATAAACATGATAACCATGGTGACTTGGAGGCACTGCTTCCTCTTGTGTTTTATGATCGCTGACTCCCTTGCCTCAAAGGAGAAAGCAAGGAGTGATCTTCATTCTACATCTCATGAGAATACATAAGTATTGCATGAGTTGGCCATTTCTTATCAATTCGTACAATCTGACGAAAATGAATGATTTGTTTTTAAACTTCATTGTGAAGGTCCATCCCTAAACTTAACCATCAGGGGGGCTTGAGCAGTATGTACAAATGAGATTATACAGATTCATATGAATTTGCAACCAGCTCATCAAATCGTAAAATACTTGCAAACTGTCTTGAGACTATGTTGGCAAGCAACTCCTGATAGACACACAAATCGTCTTATAGGGAGCTATAGTGTGTGTTTCATCTTTATCAGAGACTCACAGACCTACTGATTGAGACAGACAGTTCATTTCAGTTCGTTTACTCTCAGGCAAACAAAGCTAGTCTCCTTCTTTCTCTCTCTCTCTCTCTCACACACACAAATTCTGTAGCTGAGAACAAAAAACGCATCTCTAATATGCACACCCTCCACTGTCACCTCACACTGTGCAGTATAATCCTCTTTCCTGAATGCCATTGCACACCAAAATAAAGCCCAGTGATGCACACACACAGACACAAACCTCTGTGGATTTTCTTACACATTTTTGCATTTAGGCTCCTCAGCTTAGTGCAAACTTAGTCTTGCTTCTGTTTCCAGCGCGCAATAATGCTGCACGCAGCCGTACGCGCCCAGCAGATTCACTCATGAACACAATCACAAGACAAGCGCGCACACACAGATGCGTATATAAATACATGCACGCACTACAAGAGTGTTGGCCTCTAGTAAAAGACAAAAAGAGGACCTGTGGGGACTGAGATCTAAGGACTCTCTGTCACGTATTAGCATTTTATCTCAGTTCCCGATCTGACTGGATTGTTCAAAGCTCAGTAGCATCAAACATGTCAAATGCATATAGTCACCTTTCTTTGGTGTATCTTAGAAAATAATAAAAAATTTTGTTGTTGTAGGTAAGAAAACTAAAGGTGTGTTGCGTTCTATGCCCTCCATAGGCTTTTTTTCTCTACAGTGAGAGCTATGAAGGATTGAAACATGTAGGGGATGAAAATACATTTTCATAAAAAAATGTTTTATCGTACCATACTCCTATAGCTCTATAGGCCTATATTAGTTAATAATAAAACTGAAATAGATCTGATTGCCAGTTTGACGGTCGAAATAATTGTAGTGTATGTTCAGTTATTAAATGAAACATTTTGCTTCACCTCCTTCCTGTAAAAAAATACCATGTTAAATTTACAGCAGATATGGTTGCCAAAAATTAGCAATTATATTAAAAAACTGATACAGTGTTTCAGGTATCATGAGGTGGCATATTGATCCCTGTATATTCTATAACTTAGAACCGTATATTTCATTATAGTGTTAATATATCAATCTAGCCTATTTGAACTACCAAAAATTAGCTTTTTACCTTAAAAAAAACTACTGATAATGATAATAAAGGTGGTACAATAGAAGACCAGTAGTTGTACGGTATATACAGTAGTTAACATTTGAAGTGGATCAGAAAAGTTAGTCAAAGTTGTCCTAAGACAAGAACACATTTTGGTTTTAGGACAATTTTGATGAAAGTTTTAATTTTCATTGGGAAAAGCCAATCTACTTCAAATGTTGACTAGTGTAGATGGTGCAAAGTGTCATACACACACACCATCAAGGTAACACATATGACAATAGAATAGAATAGAATAGAATATGAAAAAATAGACTTGGAAAGGAAACGTTTTATAATTACAAATTTCTAATGTTTTTTATTCAATTGTATTCACGTTAAATACAAATTCAGTCCCATTAAACATATTTTATTAGCCTACATGACACCCATGTCTAGTTCTTGCCTAAAAAGATGGGTTTATGATGTTTGTAGTCAATAGATTTGGCTGCTTTTAGCCTTACCCTGGAGTTGGTCCACCCTCCGCCTATGTTCTTTGTGTACCGCTTCAAAGTAGCACTTTTTAAATTTCAGAGTTTTTTTTCTCAGGAAAAAAAAACCCCTGGGAAACATCCCTTTTTAATTAGTTTACAAAAAGTTCCTAAATCAGATCTCAGTTTTAGCAGTATTATTTTTTAGGCGTTTGGTAAAAACGCAAACTTTTCGGAAGATGTGTGCGAAGCATGTGGCTGTGTATTGTAAACATGAGAAAATTAGTGTCTCAGGTGTTTCAGCAGCTTATTTGTCTCTCACACACATACACGTGCAAATATTCACCAGTCCTACAGAGAAAAGCCAAACGACTTTCAAGATTTTGCCAAGATTTCCTCCTCTTCCTCTTAAGTGAATGCAAATGGA